CCTCATAAGAGCTGAAGGAGCAAAACGCTTGAAATTGTAAGTTGTAACCTTCATAGATCAGGCAGCAGTGCCATTGCACATTGTGCCATGCTGATGTCATACTGAACTGCCTGCACTCTTAAGTGCTCCTGAAGTTATACCATCGGATGGCATTGAGGGGGACATCATATTCCTCTCAACATAATCGTACTGCCCTGACTGGTTCTTTTAAGGGCGATATTTTGATATCCCAAAAAGAAGAGCCAGCCATTTTCCGTGGATTAGCCTAGCTCAGTAACCTCAGATAAACCATAATCAGCAATATCTTCAACAATTAAAATTACAATATTTTAATGCCACTTTATTAGACTGCATGGCTCATATGCATTATGATGCAATCTTCATTTAAGATAAATCCAAACCCCTCAATATGCTTTGCACTGTAGAAGATGAAAATAACATTAAATAATTTTGGATGATTGAATTGATGATTTACAACAGGTTCAAGACCACGAGACAAATAGCACCTATGGGGATGCAGTCCTTATCCTCGACCAGTATGGGTGTACCTTCACGGATACCTACTCAAAGATGAGAGATTTCACACCACGGTACAAGGCAAGCATCTCACCGGACCCCAACGAGCCATACTTTATGGAGAAGCCTGGGGACGACTGTCAAATTCTGGACAGATCATGTCCAGGATGTGGGAGTCCTACAATCTCCCAGGAACTGTAGAAGATGAAAATAACATGAACTTAATTTTGGATGATTGAATAGAAGATGAAAATAATATGAAATAAATTTTGGATGGTTGAATTGATGATTTACAACAGGTGGAAGACCACAAAACTCACAGCACATATGGGGATGCCGTCCTTATCCTCGACCAGTATGGGTGTACCCTGGTGGATACGTACTCCAAAATGAGAGACTTTACGCCAGGGTACAAGGCAAGCATCTCACCGGACCCCAACGAGCCGTACTTTATGGGGAAGACTGGGGGACGACTGTCAAATCCTTGACAGATCATGTCCAGGATTTGAGAGTCCTACAATCTCCCAGAAAATTTCTCCCAATCAACATTTGTAAAACTGCCGCCACCAATGCACGTTAATTAAATGAAATTCAATTCATGTTTGGTTTTCTAAGGAAAACAAATATTAAATTGATGTAGTAAAAAAAACAACCATAAAATGTCTACAATACGAAATGGGCACAACATGACACAAAATAGGAATGTCAATAGATCTAATTAATGAATTATAAGAGAAAATCGTTCAGAGCGGCAACGCACATTTGATAAAATGTATTTTGCATAACGACAGGGCTGTTGGGGTATGTAAGAAAATAATATTTGGTGGCAATGGTATCAAGATACATGTATGCCAAACATACTCTAATTAAAAATAAGGCAATCACATGAGGGGGGGGGGGGGGGGGGAGAGAACATGTTCCCCGTGGTGCATGTTGTACGATGGAGGAGTTACAATTTATTTTCTCTGTTTGGTTTCTCCTGTTCTATCGTTTCTCATTTGATCTTCCTCCAAATGAACCATAGCTAAGAACCAGAAGTGAGAATCACATTAAACTCAAGATCACTTGGATCACTCAAGTCTGTTTTCACAGAATCCAAAGTGCTGCTAAAGTTAGTCATTTTAAAAAGCTACACAGAATATTCTGAAAGGTTTAAATGTGTCATTTGCCGTACGTTATTATAATTCTAGAATTCTAATTTCTAATTATAAAAATGCTCTTGGGAAGCTCATTTTGTTAAAGTCAACCCAATTCATAAAAAAAAAAAATTCAACCAATCATACCCAGTTATGAATCTTATTCATTAAGAAACAGGAATCCTATGGAATACTTACCAGTATTGTATTGTGACAAATGGATCCAACTAGAGAGTATAAGTAAAATTCATAGATAACATTAGAGAAAACTTCCCATTTGAATTTAAATTTGATTTACTATATGATTTCAAAAATCAGCTGTTTGATTAATTTCACACAGAAAAATTCAATGAAGGCGAGGCAGCCTGGAAGGGAATCAAAGCAGTCAGAGACGCCCTCATAGTAGAACTGGAGTGCCAAAATGCTGGACGAGGGGGGCTGTGTGCCACCCTTAAAACCAATGAGGTGGCAACCAGTAAAGAGCGAGATGGAAAGAGAGACTTCTTGGTATTAAAATATTACAAATTGGAACCTTCATAGATAATATAAGGGAAAACTTCCCATTTGAATTTGAATTCAATTTACTATATGATTTCAATAATCAGCTGTTCGGTTAATTTCACACAGAAAAATTCAATCAAGGCTAGGCTTCATGGACGATCATAAAGGCGGTGAGGGACGCCCTCCTCGTCGAAATGGAAGCCCAGAATGCAGGACGAGGGGGGCTGTGTGCCACCCTCAAAAGAGGAGAAGAAGAGAGCTCTATAGCTATTGATGGAAAGAGGGAATTCTTGGTATTCAAATATTACAACTTTTGTATAACTGTTGCCAGCTATGCTGGAGATGAATACCCTGAGGAAACAAAGGGTATTCCGTGATAGATCTCACCCACTCGACATGAACGGCGACACAGAAATGTTCGAGAAATACAGATTCACTAGGGATGGTGTGAGATCTATCATTGCGAGTTTGGAGGCAGCACTCTAGCCCAAATCTCAAGAAAGGGGGGGGGGGGGGGGGTGCCCGGCAGTATCGCAAAATCAGAGCAGATGTTGACAACATTGCTCCATTATCTAGCAGGAGGTGGGTACTACCGGTAAGTTGGGAGAAGTGGCGGATTATCAACATCTGCAGCCTTCCGGCACACCCATCTTGTAGCCAATTTTTTTTATTTGACATCGCGCGACATCATATCCAGCTACTGGAATGGGGGTCACATACCGGTATACGTGAGTGTTAATTGTTATAGAAACCACTCGATCAAAATGGTGGCACTGCTAGCAATGCTGGAGGTGTATACCCTGAGGAAACAAAGGGTATTCCGTGATAGATCTCACCCATTCGACCTGTACAATGATACAGAAATGTTTAAGAAGTACAGATTCACCAGGGATGGGGTAAGATCTATCATTGCAAGTTTGGAGGCAGCACAGAGAAATAAGGCAGTGCCACCAAGCGTGCAAGTATTTATTGCATTAAGATTTTTCGCTACCAAACTTGAGGATAAAGTTCTTGAAGAAACAACTGCTAAATACTTGCCACCGAGTAATTGCCCCATCCTCGATGTACCAAAAGTTAACCCGGTAATTTGGGAAAAGTCGTCGCCGTTCACACAAAGTCGTGACCTGAAACTGACAAGAGTCCAAAAGTTACTCACGAGGGGCTTAACCGTTTAAACACGCTCGCTTTCATCTACACAAGCGCTGAGGCAGCCAGTGGCGTCGCAGGGTCGCTTTCGTCAGAACCTGCAGAAAAAGTAGCTGCTAACATACCCCAAGAGGTAAAGTAGCCCTTCCCTCTACTCCCTCATAAAATTACACTCAAACTTCCAACAGGTAAGTTATCGTTTGAGCTTTCAATTAAACTGTATATTACCAGTTTACATCAATCGTAAAGGACGATATTCAATTAATGTCCGTCCATCTGTGATTACAGGTACATAATCACTAACTGTGTAGCTCGATGGCCTGGTAGTACACATGTATTCCGTGATAGATCTCACCCACTCAACATGTATGATGACATTGCGAGTTTGGATGCAGCACTCCAGCCAAAAATTCAAAGAAACAAGCCTGCAAGCATGCATTAAGATTTTTCGCTACTGGATCGGTGCTGGACAGTAGCGCAACCATTCACGGTGTGAGCCGCTCCACCACCTGCAGAATAATTTCAAATGTGAAAGTCTTGCAAAACTAGTGTGTTCTTAGTGAGTGGAAATGGAAAAAACAAAAAGTAAAAGTTAAATAATTATAAGTAGCTGCATACGAAGAGAGTTTAACTGGCAATGGAAGAGAATATGAACCTCTTGTGTGAAATATGTAATATATTGTAACGGTCTGCAGTCGTGACGTAATAAAGAGGCCTGACGTAGCTATTTGTTTACATTATCACTAAGGAAGATGTTTTAATAAACAAACTCTAGCTAGCCTTCGGAGTAAATAATATTTATCGCATCAATCGATAGATAGATAAATAAGATAGACGGAGAGATAAATAGGCCTTTACTTGTTGATTGTGATTACTAGTTTTTCAACTTTGGAAGGTAGGAAATATTCAATTTGATATTAGAAAAGATATTTAGAGTACGCACTATCAACTACATACTAGTCTATGTTCTATTATTAGCCCCCCTTTGAGGGGCGTTCGTCGAGACAACATGTAATTAAGCTCTCCCTGGAAATTCCCCCCATAGCCGTCTGAGGAACTAGACGTTAATTGGAACTGGAAAATGAAGGTACAGAACGAAGTCGACGCTGGAATTAACATGTACCACTATTAAGATGCTGGAACTAAGATGTACCACTATTAAGACGCTGGAATTAAGATGTACCACTATTAAGATGCTGGAACTAAGATGTACCACTATTAAGACGCTGGAATTAAGATGTACCACTATTAAGATGCTGGAATTAAGATTTACCACTATTAAGACGCTGGAATTAAGATTTACCACTATTAAGATGCTGGAATTAAGATGTACCACTATTAAGATGCTGGAATTAAGATGTACCACTATTAAGACGCTGGAATTAAGATGTATCACTATTAAGATGCTGGAATTAAGATGTACCACTATTATTAAGATGTACCACTATAAAGACGCTGGAAGATTTTTAAGTCCACCTCTCCCACTATGATGCTATAGAAATGGAATTTAACTAAGATGGGAAACTTCCAAGTTCCCTAGTCCTAATGAATCATTGCCCTTCAGTTTATTACATGTATTAGAATATAAGAATGACAATTATATAAATTACTTAAATATAACTATGAGCACAAGGCATTGTAACAGTGGTGATATAAAGATGTTGTAAATATTTGAAGTACATGTATTAATAAAAGTTGACCATTTTTCTTTCGTCTTGAAACACTTTGTCTTTCTTAACTGGTACACCTCCGTCATAGTCGTATATTTCAACGAAACAAACATAAATAAGTAATTGTAGCTTTCTCCGTCTCTTCTCAAATAAAAGATAACACCTTATTCCTTTAACCGCTCAGACATAATTAAGAAGATGTCCTCTAACGAATATCCTGACAGATATAAAGAACCAAATTCCCCAGCTGGGAATGAGAACAATCCCGACAAAGAGGTCGAGATTGAAGAATGAAGACACCACAATACGAAGGGGAAGGCAAGGCCTAAGTCTCGTAAGAGAGGCGAGAAGCGAAATCTCAAGAGGACACTGACTGCAATCCAACATCAATTACAGAAAAGAGAAGACAGGATGGATTTAAAAATGATTATTGAAGTAGATCTGAAATAATATTTCCTGTAACTGAATTTCTTGGAAAACTAGAGTGTTCTTAGTGAGTGGAAATGGAAGAACAAAGTAAAAAAAAAAACAATTACAATTAGCTCCATACGAAGAGAGTTTAACTGGCAACGGAGGAGAATATGAACCTCTTGCATGAAATATTTATCTAAAAATATTACCAAATATATGGCTCATGTCTCAATGATCATGAGGTTGTCATTTGTAAAAGGCTAATTAGTAAAATGTAATGATTGTTGAGGATGATGATAATAAAGATGATTATGAATTCGATGAGGAAAGAAGTGGAGACAGAGTGAAGGCAATATAGTATTGTTTGCGGGATGATGATACAGATGATGGTAATCATGCTGAAGATGATCATGATAATAATGATGATAATTATGATTGTGATAAAATGATTTTGATGGTGTCTTGGTGGGGATGATGACGATGGTGGTGATGATGATGATGATGATGATGACGATAGTGGTGATGGTGGGGATGAGGATGCAAATGCAGGTGTTGAAAGAGATGATGGTGATGATTTGATGAGAATTATGCTATTAGTTTGACTACTGAATGATCTCTCTGAGTTAAATTGAAAAAAAAATACAACTGATTGTGGATATACATGTGTATTCTACCACCATTTGACAATGACACCATCATCTTTATAGGACACATTTATAAAATATGCAAAACATCTCAAGACTGCAGATACTTCCTGAAATATTTTACATGTACTTATCTCTCTTTCTTAACTACATCACAAGTATCTCATCACCCTCCTAGATTAGATCCAGGTCATTGGTTGGTATAAGCTCAGTTGGTTCCATGTCAGTCTATCTTTCCGGCTGCATCATATCACATATGGATCTCATTGCTATTGCACACTAGTAGATCCTGGTCCTATCAGCTATCTCTTCTTCTGTACCACATCACATGGATCTCGTCACTGTTATAGACTTTAAGTCCAGGTCCTTCCTAGGTAGGTCAGCTAGGTCCAGTCTCAACTGATCCATCTTTCCTTTTGTGTCATCAACCATTGATCCAGGTCTTCTTGTTGGTATCAGCTGGGCTGGTCCTGTGTTGGTCCATCTTTTCTTCTATACCACATCACATGGATCTCATCGCTGTTGTAGACTGGATCGAGATCTTCTCTGGGTATTTCCTCCACAGAAAAATGTGGTTCCATCAGCTGATAAAAATCAAGTAAACATGCAACAAATTGGAATCAAAATTCAAACGAAGATGAATATTAGGACAATGTCTCAATATTTTTTTTTTATACATCACCAAGATATAAACACTCAATTTTTTAAGCAGGAATTGCCTTCCATGACAGAAATGGTCACATTTTAAATTTTGTTATTAATTAATAAATTATTGTTATTATTATCATTATTATTTGTATTAATATTTTTTTTTTTTTTTTTTTTTTTTTTTGGGGGGGGGGGGGGGGGGGGGGGGAGAGGCAAATATCAGATCCATACCTTATCAAATAATTGATGAGCTTCAGCATTCTGTCCGATGGTTCTCTCTTCATAGCAGCCGAGAATGTCCGCCCCATCTTTAGAAAGATCACAGAGTGTCTTTACCAGTGGTTGCACAGCCTGTAATATCAGACCACACATGGAAGGTAATACAAAATGTTTTATGAAATTTGATCATTGAGATCAAAATTTAACAGTGCCCAATACCCAGTCCCCAAATTAATGTTATTTAGGGTTCGGGTATGCGTGTTCCCTCCCTTTTAAAGCACCCCTATCTCTACCAACATTTCTGAACCCCCCCCCCCCCCCCCCCCCCCCCCAATGAAGGGCTTTTCCTGCCTTAGAGACCCCCTAAATCCGGAACACTGCTCAATGTACTGCCCTATCTATGACATTAAAGATATTTTATAACCCCCTTTTAAAAATTTCTCAGGAGTCCAAAGAGAGAGGGAGAAAAAACACCCCTTTTTAAAAGAAATCTCCAGGTGAAAAGTCAAATACATTCCAATTTTTTTACAATTCTCAGGGCGGACTTTGTAGCTCAAAGAGTACCAGTTTACCAGAGATTTAGGAAACACGAATGCGGTCTCTTCGACCCTGGAGTTGGGGGGGGGGGGGGGGGGGCTCAATATCAGTGCTTAGAAACATCTTATTAAGTGCTATATGAATTTTGCATATACTATTATTATCATCACTATTATTACAGATCACCAGATATTTGTACAATGTCATAATTACCCCCAACCAAAAAATTTAAAGCCTGCACACAAGTGAGCACAATTTCCACTTCCCCTGCAACACTGCTTCCAAAACTTACACTCTGTTATAATGCATGCATGCAGTCACACAGACAACCACCTTGGCTTTATTAAAGAATTTCTCATTGGTACCTATTCTTTCCTGGGAAAGCGTGACAATGCAGATCAATATCTTGCTCATGGATGTTCATTCCGTGGCCGGCAGTCAAACCACTGACCATTTGATTAACAGCCGCTGCCCCGTAACCTTCGGCCATGACATCTCTCATTAAAATTGAATTAAAAACAAATACAGTCTGGAAACATGCAACATGTTCATGAAAACTACCTACCCTGATACTAACAACAATACAGCCCAGCACAAATGCCAATGATTTCTAGATTAACATGTATTCAGAATACCCCTCCTTTATCTGGAACCATTGTGACTTAATTTAAAGTCACTTAAGCCCACCACACTTTATGCGATGCTCCTCAGACCTCCTGCGATCCAATTTCTGAAGAAATTACAACTTTATTAGATCTGGAAATCTTAACCAACATCTTTTTGATTTAGGTTCTAAATAATAAATGATAAGAATACTAACAACTAGAATTTTAGTGCATTTAAGCCTTCTAATCTAGTTAGAATAAAAGCTGAATCTGCTACAAATCATACAAATTTGCACGAGTCTGAGCTGATTTAGCATTTCCTCCTCAAAAGAAGCTTGATATTCATCAAAATTTAGATTTGTATTAATCATATGTCAATCCAAATCCTTCATCATTAAGATTTCAGATGTTTCAATGTTCACATCAAATGCCATTGCAACTTCTTCTAAAATTGGATCATGTCAGATCGTATAGTGTGCGGTGGGTGTATACATACAAAGTACATGTACCGGTATCTAGTGGTTCATTGATCATTATTAAAGCCCCTCTAAAGTGTTGGAATCCCCAAATTCACCACAAATTTGGAGGCAAAATTTAACTTAGATGGTATCAAAATGTGAAAGAGGATGTCATTTACGACACACTTCTGCAAAGTTCCCCCCCCCCCCCAAAAAAAAAAAAAAAATTAAAAAAAAATGTTGATAAAACAATCAATAATTTGGGTCGTCTGTACAATGCAGAAAAACTAAATTTCTTTCATCAATATTCTTTCACATTATGAAACAGTTTAAGTGAAATTTTGCCACCAAATTTGTGGGGCTCCCAACAATTTAGAGCGGCTTTAAGAATTTGGGTATATTTTGTTTACCTCTGGATAGTAGACACAGTCAGACATGAGAACCAGGTCTGGTAAAGGGTTGAACTCTCCGATGTCCTCACCCCTACATGATGAAGAAATAAATCAATAGCATACAATAAATAATATGATTTCAGATATACAAGAAGTACAAACATTACATGCACATGTAGTACACTGTAGATATGAAGTAGTTTTCAATGCAATATAATACAAGACAAAGTAATGGCCGAATTATAACATGGGACCAGATTTGGTGATGATTTTAACTCTTAATATTTCCCTCCTCTAATATCACCAAATCATAAGCTATATCAATTCTCTAATACAACTGTAAGGGTTGATTCCATGCCTTCCCACAATAGAAATTAGACAGTTCATTTTCGATGGGGGGGGGGGGGGGGGGGGGGGGAGGGAGGGGGAGATGGAGGGATAGATCAAATAATTTGTTTTTTATGTTTAAAGAGGAAGTTCCCTTTGATATAAAGCAGGTCATTACACATTTTTAGCAAAAAAATGATTAAAAATAAGAAAGTTATGAATTTTTGAAGGTTCAATCGTTCAAACACATATTGGCAACTCTGTGACATATCTTGCGATGTCCCCCTCACATTTGCCCTGTACTTAAAAACTTCAAAAATTTATATTGTCCCTTAGAGAACATTTTCAATCATACATGCACCTGAATCTAATTATTGAAAATATGTTTTTGTACAAATTCCTTCATCAATAACTAAGAAAATAAAAGTTTATGAAATTCACTTCGATTGTATGATGAAGTGAAAGAGGATGTCATTTAACGCCGACTTCTGCAAGGATTTTAAAGAAAAAAAATTGTTTGACAACGAATATTGATGAAAGAATACAAAAACAGATTTACTGCGTATGAAACAAAGCCAAGTTTTATATTCTTTGATTTATTATCAATATTTGTCTTCAAACACTTTTGTTTTGAAAATCCTTACCGAGTTCAGTGTTTTAAAATGACATCGTAGTGGTCGTGATGGTTATTTTACCCGACAGCTAAGAAAGCATAAATGCTTGTTAGTAAGCAACCAGAGGATCGACGGCTTTAGATCCTCTCCGAGAGACCTGGTAATGTGGATTAATGCCTTACTAAAGGGCACTAGCGCATCGACTTGGTTTTGAACCCGGGTTGCCGGATTTACAAGATCACTGCTCTACCAACTGAGCTATCGCGCCTCAAGGTAGAACCCCCCCCCCCTCATTACACAATTTAAGTGAAATTTTGCCATCAAATTGATTAACAAATATGGGGTCTAATATCTTGTGACTTTATTCATGTAAATACCATACCATTTCAGTATTTTAGCTGTGGCCGTACCAGTGAGTGCACTCAGGTTGGTTTTGATGTTCAGTTCCATGAGAGGTACAAACTCTTCAAGGTCAGTCAAGGTCACATCAGACCTAATGATAAAACAAAGCGAGAAATTATATCCTTCAGCATGGAAAACCCTGAAAAGATAGGGAACATACATTATGGATTTTAGTTACACATTCTAAGTCTTATTTTTGCTAGTTTTTTAACATAAATATTTAAAAGTGTTATCTATTGTACCGAACATGTAAACTTGAATATTCCAGTCAAGGCTGTCCTTCATGTAAAATTGTATTTGTATGAACCATGTTTCTGCTATAATAAAAACCATTTTTGAATTGAATTGAATTGAATTGAACAGAAAATGATCGTGCATACTTTGAATTCCTGTAGAACTAGAAATATGATCGTTAATATCAATTTGATGCACTGTCTGATCCAGGCGCGTACACAGGGGGGGGGGGGGGTGTTAACCCCCCCCCCCTCATTTTTTGTTTTGCTCATGGGTGGGGGGGGGGGGGGGGTGCTGAGTAAAATATGAAAAAAAATTAAAATATTGCTAGCTAACCCCTGCATCCAGTGAAATACCGATCCGCGCGATCTTCTCATTTCCGGGGGCAAGAAAAAAAAAATTATTGCTTGCTGCCCCCCCCCCCCCCCCCCCCAAGTGAAATATGGTCGGTGCAATGTTTAATTTTCAAACACCCTCCTTGAAAAAATCCTGCGTACACCACTGGTCTGACACTGATGATACCCAGTGGGTGGCGTACCCAGGATTTTTTTAAATCGCGCTGACCGATATTTCGCTCATGCAGTGGGGGAGGGAGTTGGTATGGTAAACCCCCAATCCCCCCCCCCCCCCCCCCCCCCCCCCCCTGCGTACGCGCCTGCTGATACCAGACCATAGCCCATTCATGAACGTATCCAAGTCAAGACTATAGAATCTAACTAGTTAGGTCTATGGAGTAGCCTACCTAGGGAGTAGGGAGTAGGGAGTAGGGTGTAGGGAGTAGGGTGTAGGGAGTAGGGTGTAGACCTGGCATTGATTGGCAAGAGCAAAACAATAATCACAACTGGCATTAACCACACTCAGTCACAGTCACAGTCACAGTCACACTCACTTATCACAGACATAGATCTACCCCTACTAACTCTAAGAACATAGACAAACATTAATAAACCTATGATGTTTTAAAATTAACATGCAAGCTATCAATTATTATGGTAGATCTATTTCACATATTAAATCTTGATCTTTTCATTCTACCCTAATAAAGAATCTATGTTATCGGCGTAGTCTAGGCCTACGTAGTACGTAGACTAATTCATATGTGCTGTGTATTGCATTGGCCAGTATAGAGTGCATACCCAAATTTACACGCGACGAGTCCCGTTGCTCCTGTTCCCGCTCCTATCTCCAGCAATCTTCTCTTCTTTAGCTCACCAAATCGACGATCGAATCCTTTTGTTTCAAGATATTTGGAAAGTACTAATGCAGCATCCCAAACCACGCAGCCGACATCTCCAACATAGCTCTGTTGGATCGTCAGACAAGTTCCATCTTCGCATTCAATTTCTCGCGGGTACATTTGCGATGCGTCCATGTTGTTTTCTGAGGTCATGCAACAGTTAATTTCCCCCTTTAATTTGCTGTATGTTTGAGCGCGTCCACCACGTGGGCGCGGCGCGGGCGCGTGGCACGCGCTACGTACGTGTAGATCAGACGCGCAATAGAAGACGCGCGAAAAGCTTCATCCAATCAGGTGATTTTAGGGAGGCGAGATTTCAAAGTTCCTTTTCGCAATCGTTGGGATATGCATAGGCGTGGAGGTTGGGGAGGGAAGCTCGGTGGGGGGGGGGGGGGGGGGGGGGGGGGGGGGGGGGGGGGCAATCGCCCCCAAACGAAAAAGTAGAGAGGAGGCAAAAAAATATTTTCGCCCCCCCCCCCCCCAAAAAAAAGTAAAAGGGTAAAGATAATTTTTTAGAAAATAAAAAAGGAAACGATCGAATTGAATCACATAAAAATTATCTACAAAAACAGTCATCAAATTTCCTAAACATTCTGCATGCCCTTATTTTTATCATGAGAGGGTTTAATGATAGCGATACCGATATGTACGCGCTGGAAAAGCATGTGTTTTTTTATCATAGGGGTGAGCAGGGGCGGATCCAGCCGGCGGCAGGGGAGAGGGTCCGATTCGTGAGAAAATATAGCGGCGTAATTAAACAGCCAGCGGGTGAATAAGCGGGGGATGGGGGGAAGAAGCACTAATTATTTTTGGGGGGCCCCTGAAAATTTGAGAACCACACCCCCAACCCTTGAGCACCAGGGAAGGGGGCCCCATCTCCAAATAAAGGTAAAATTAATGTGTATTACCTGTATTTTTCCCAGTGGATCCGCCACTTGGGCCAAGAAGACATGAGCCCCTGAACACAGGCGTAGCCCCCAAATGAAATTCAAACATGGTTTATTTCTAATTCGATACCATTGTTTTAGGCCATTAAAAAAAATATATAATTCCCCGCTCGCTTCCTTTTTGGGGGCAGCCTCCAATTTTTTTTTTTTTTTTTTTTTTTTAAAGAAAAAAAACATGAAAAACACTGCTAAGATGGATCTATTTCTGATTTTTTTTTTTTAAATGTCGGCAGCCATCTTGAAAAATGGCCCGACTGTCAGGGAAAATGTACTGAGCGGCCATTTTGAAAAGAAAAAAAAAGGGCCTCCTCTTTCCTATATCTAAAAAAAAGTAGGACGCTAAACATGCTTTTTTTTTATTTGGCCTTACAAATGTTGTTGAAATAACCTGCTTTAGTGACCACCTGTCTACAAAGACCACATTTTTTGTTTCCCTAGGGCGGTCGCTATAGACAGGTTTGACTGTATTTGTATAAAACACATTATAAATTGTGAACTTCAAACATATACATGTTAACATGTTCACGGGGAATGTCCAGAATAAACTTACTATTAAGACTTGCAAGGGTTTCTTGCCACAGGCTCCATTTAGCATTTTCTTAAAATTTCCAATTAATCCTTACATCAATTCTTTTGATGACCAAAGAGGCTTGCCTATCATGGCAACAACTACAGCATGAACAGTGGGTTCCATCCATAGAGGTTGATTAAAATGGATCCATAAGCAGGTTCTTGAGAAATATATGAACGTATGAGCAAATAAAAGAACACATATGCTGATATGCATATGAACACTTTATTTGTATTGCTAGTTCAGCCACGTAGCTGGTTTTTACATCGGCTAAGCAATACAAATTACAGTTTATGGACACAGAAAATTATTAACACAAAAGTAGTGTTGACTATACATACAATGACAACGCCCTCCTATAGCTGTCGGTTGTCAATATCTCCCATCTTATATCACACACATACACACATGTACATACATACATACACAGTGCTATGTATAGTTTATCAAATATTTTTATTTAATATATTTCCTCTGAAAATATTTCGTAAATCTACAAATAAATTAATCCACATATACATATGTAGGACTTTTTTATCCATTCAAAAGTCACAATTTTTTCATAAAGAAAAAAGAAAGAATTGTCAATCAGCTAAAATTTGAATATTCCCAATAACAAACAGCTTTAATAAAATACTTTTAAAACATTTTAATTTCAAAATGACAATACATAATTATAACAAATTAGTTTAAATATTAGAGAACAACAGATACATGTAAATTAAATCAATACAATGAAGAGTTTTTAGTATAAATATTGTTGTACTTATTAGAAGCACTGATTTGCAAAATCGTGATTCAATATTATTACCATGTAGCAGTACCGGTATTGACAAATATTTTTTACCTTGATGGGGCAATGCAGTACGTGTTGTAATAAAAGCAGAAAAGTGAGAGAAAAAGATTAGAGAAAATTTAAGCAAAATTGTATTCAAGAAAAGAAAGCTATAATTTTTTAAGTTGGACTCAACGATACAAATTAGCTCCGTACTGAAAATACAATAAATTTCTATTTACTTTGTTATTGCTGAAAGAATAGATTTGCTTCATACAGGGTTGTGTAAAAACATTTGCGATGATTATATATATCTAGGGTGCTTGGATTCTTGAAAATTTGTAGAGACATTATCAATTCATGAATTATTTTTAAATACAAAGCAAATGGAAGAGGACTTGTAAGAAACAATCTACAGTGCTTGGATTCTTGAAAATTTGTAGAGACATTATCAATTCATGAATTATTTTTAAATACAAAGCAAATGGAAGAGGACTTGTAAGAAACAATCTACAGTGCTTGGATTCTTGAAAATTTGTAGAGACATTATCAATTCATGAATTATTTTTAAATACAAAGCAAATGGGAGAGGACTTGTAAGACACAATCTACATCATAGAATTTGTGTTTAATCGATTGCAAATCAAAATATTAATAACTTTCTTATTTTGCTTTGGATTTTCCTCAAAGTTTCTCTAACCTGTTTCTCTATTTTTTCTCCTTCTATTTAAACTAACTCAATAGTGAGCAGCATACAAATCACAACAATATTGAGATGATTCAAATGAGTAAAGAGACACAAAGTTATGCTCAAAACATAACCAAAATTAAATTACAAACATCTTTGGTTTACATCTTTGGAAGAATCAATTTTTTCTTGCTTGCTTATCAAATTATCTGCTCAACCAGGATAATCTCAGATTCCCCTATCTTATGATTTTGAATAATATAACTGAGCATATCATACGATAAACATTTATTTGATGCCATCAATCCAAGGTAATATCTTAATTACATTTCCAATTTTCTATGAACAGAATTATAAAGTCATATTAAATGTTTGGGGTTGCTTGTTTGCGAATTTTTAACTTATTTTAGCAATCCCAGCATTTGTAAAGAATTCATTTTGATCTTTATCTTTGCCAAAATAATGTGAATTGAATTGAATTGAATTGAATTGATAAATTGGTTTCACAATCTAAATGTACCAAGAAATTCATGGTATTACACTCATCTTCATAGTACATGAAATACAAATTAAAATACCTTGATACACGAGTAAATGGTCGAATCATTAACATCAATGCCCACCATAGCATCTTCTCTCAGAACAAAAAAAACAAAAAAAAACGGTTGATCTTTTCAATATATAGAGTTGAATAAAGCCTTACTATTAATATATCAATGCACTGTAGATATTTCAAGTTCCTATCCTCCCTTACAATTTTCTGATTTTATCTTAAAATATAATTTTTAAGCTGAACTCATACAAAAGTCATTATTTTACAAATACCTCTCAAATGTCTTTTATGTACACGGCTAAAAATTGTCTTAAATAAATGTCAATGACTATATACTTCAAGCAAGAATGACCAAAATAAACAAGAAGTTCTTAATTTGTTACAATTTGCATACCCAATTTGCAAACAATTGTAATGTTGCCATACTTGCTTCACATCACAAAAGACAAAATCCTGCCACTAGATGACTACAGATAATAGGGGAAAAACCCTGTGAATTGTACTTATCATCTGCCTAGGTCTTATTGATAACCATTGACCTATGACCTCATAGTTTTCCTCCACATCACTCATTTTTTGTTGTTATGATGTTGGGTTTGAATAGTATTGGTAGATTTAGGTTAATTTTTGTTGTTATCGTTAAGGTCCTTTCCTTTTTTGAAATTGGTTATTTTTGCCTTTTTGTATTTCTTAGTTTGCCTTAATATCATTATTTGGTACCTTTTCAAATTTTTCTATGACTTTAGAGCTTTAATCATATTGCATATACACTCAATCTAGGCCAACTGACAATGCTACACCATGAAAATAAACTTAACATGAAGACTTTCTCAAGAATGAAACAAAATATCTAAATGAAATCTAAGAAAAAGAAATCGGTTTTTCACAGCAGATCTATAGCATATTATATACCTCACTTAAGAAATCCAGCCATCTGATTGGTCGAATTGCATTCATAAACTTCAACTGTTCCTGTAAAATTCTCGGTAACCATGCATAAAACATTTCAATATTTTTAATAACCATGGTTATTAAAAAAAGTTGGTCAGCCTCCATGGTTACCCCATAGGTTTACATGTTAAAAAATGGTTTGAGCGATGGAGGATGCCGTATGTGTGCGAAGGATTGGTCGGTAATTTCAATACAATTGAATCTCGATCGATCTTACCGACAATTTTATCTTGCATTGTTGACATGAAGACGAAAATAAACTTCCAAAAACAAAAAAACAACATCTGCCGATAGATCTTGATCTAAGTTCGTGCCAATATGCATTGCAAAAGTAAAAGAAGAGTCCGTATATGGAGCTTTTGCGAAGCATTCATCACACGCGAAGCCGGTTTCAATCCATTTTAATGTATATATTGGAGAAAACTGCCAAGCATGTTAACGGCGGGCCATAGCCGAGTGGTCTAAGCGTTGGTTTTCGGTACACCTCTTGTTGTACGCAAGAGTTCGAATCCCGTCTTCGACAAAAATGATAAATATTTTTAATTTTTCATTTTTAGTCTATTTTTTTTCGGCATATAAAAGTATTAATGACTGCTTTAATATTCGAGAAATAGTTGTTTTCATACGCTCTCGGGAAGGTTACAATTGGGCTATTCCCCTCGGCAAGCCTCGGGGAATAGCACAATTCTAACCTTCCCTTGAGCGTAATAAAACAACTATTTCTCTCAAAGCAGTCATTAATACTATAATATCACATGATTATGAACAAATCCAATAGATCTCTTTATAGTCTATGGTCTAAATAGTCTCTATACAATTCAGAAAACAACATTCCCTCAAAGAAATATAAATATACCTGTATTCCTTTGCATTTATGTATCAAATTAAAAAATAAAATGATTGAAACAGAAAATAACTGTCAGGGGAATGCTTTGGCATTTAGTAGTGATTTCAAATGGTTTGCAGTCTTATTACTGATCATTTTGGCTTGATGATGAGTTGGTTGACTTAAAGCTGATGAATCTACTACTTTGATATTGACCTGTAGGCTGTACCATTTCATTTCTTTTCTTGAGTTAGGCTTGCTCTAAAAATTCTAATACAAACATTCACAATCACTTTACACGTAGTTGAAGGAGCTCAAAGTTGTAGAGATATACAAATTAATGCAGCAAATATAATTTTTGTTTAAAGAGCATATATTAATTTCTTACTTCAACTGAAAGTTCCTGACATTAGTCAAACCATTTTAATATCAATGCATGATTGTACAAATAAATAACAACAACATCCCTGAATGTTCTAAAAAATGTGACCAACATTGAGAAAAGAAAAATCAATGCTTAATTTCAATAATTAATACTGTATATGGAATATCCATTATTTCCCAAAACACAAACATCACAATTATAGCAGAAATTTTAGGAGATTGTAAACATCTATGTACTCTCATACTCTTTTGGAATGACTTTCACTAGAAATTTTCAAAAAATAGATAGTAAATTAGAGGCATTTGAAATAAATATTTCATCAAAATGTTTAAATAAACTATAGCTGAATACAAAAAGCTTCTTGTAAGGCACGATTAAAATAGATTTCTGATTTGTGATCACTTATTGCTAACATTCTTAAGTTGTCAATCACAAAGGAACCCCCTTCCCATCGAATTCTAGAAATCTTGATTTAAACTTTCAGAATCAAGAGTGGCAATGATCAAAGAAGGCAGACAGATCAACACCTCAAGCAAAGTCGTTGAATATCATCTATGGAAAATAGCTTTGTAGTTGGAAAACATATAAAATTCATTATAATAGATATATACTAAATAGATCATTGCATAAAAAAATAACACCTTTGGAAGAGCTGCCTACAGCAACAAGTACTAAATGTACTACATTACAGATATTACAAATATTACAAGTAATTGTCGCTGAAAATTTCACCCATTTAATATGACTATCAACTCCTCATTCAAACATGACCTTTATAACTGCCCAAAAAGACTTGCCATAGGAAAGCACAATTATTTCACGTGTAAGTGAATAGCAGGGGAGGGTAAAATAAAGTATATGTGAACGTCAGATTAATGGCCCCAAGGTGTACTCTGTGAGCATCGTGTTTAAGTATACATATTTGTAATGTGCATTGCACTTATGATGTCTTATCTTGTCTCAGCAGCTTCTTCCGAGGGGGTTTATAATGTCATGTATAAACGAGGCTATATTTAGTCACTGGCCAATTTTTCACTCTAGTTATGTATAGATGTACAACTTCTCTAGGTCAGCTGCTAATTACTTTCTCCATGGTACAGTGGAACCTCACTATAATGAACACTAATACAACAAACTCTCAATATAACAAGGTGACTTTGCCAGTCTAACTTCTTTGTTGTCTATTGTTTTTTATCCCAGGTATAACTAGGTCCCAATGCGACAAAGCAAGTTCCTTTATCTAGTGGATACGTCATCCGGACTGTGGATCACATGGTTCACAGTTCAATCCAGCGTTGTACTAATGTCCTTTGGCAAGACATTAATCTACATTGGCCACAACCCAACCTTGTGATAAATAGGTACCGACTCGAACATTAAAGTGCCTTGACTAGCATGTGTGCGATTGCAAAATGGCGCTTGGCTGGAATACTCCCTAGGGAGCCGAGTGTCGCACTATCACGTGCGGATTAGCAATTGCATCCAGTGACAAGGTTAATAACAATTACAATGTAAAGTGCTTAGAAATGTAGAATTAAATGTAAATATTAGTATCATTATAATGAGGTTCCACTGTAATGAGTCTTGAAGGTAGGAGGAAGAGACATGCTCAAGCCCTGATCACCACGTTGGCATCTTCTACTAAGTAAGGGTATGGCTCGGTCCTCATATGCTTTGGTTTCCTTCGCCTGTAAAGACATCAGAGACAAGCATTTTATTACACATAACATGTCGAGTGGATATGTCACCGGACTGTGGATCACAAGGTCTGCGGTTCGAGCCCCGCTTGGGCACTAATGTCCTTTGGCAAGACATTGATCTACATTTGCCACTCTACACCCAGGTGTTGAAAGGGTACCTGGTAGAATGCGAAAGTTAATGTGGTTTAGCCTCATGTCTGCTGCAGTTACCGCCTGACTGCACATTGTACGGTCTGACTGCGATCCACTTTTGAAAGCAATTCAAATATTAATTTCAACTAGAAAATTTTCCGATTGAGCTTCCTAAAAATTATATGAATTCTTAATTTGAAATCGAAGGGCGACTGCTCAACCTCCAGTCTAAAAAAAAAAAGGCCAGAATCAGCTTAACTTGGGGACAGCTTTGCTACTTTTCTGATGTTACTGCAATTCAAGGCCAATGCAGGGCCTTATCTTAGACTGAAAGGCCCAAAGCACCCTAAATTGCAATTCTACTGATATGAATATTGTGGAGCTAAAAAAAGAATATTAAATGTAGACTGTCATATATAAATGCTGTTGCAATTTTTCCCAAAAATTGGATCACAGTCAGATCATAAGTACGCTGTGGGCTTAATTCATTTTTCATAATATATACAAGTAACACACTACATATTTCCTCCCATAAAAAAATAATGTTTGCTCCAGAAATCTGTATTAAAAAAATATGTACTAAAGTATTTGTACAGTTAAAGTCAAAGTTACGGCTGAAGTAAAATCCTTCATCTAGCTTTGTTATATATTAAAGCAAACACTGCAAAACAAAACAAAAGAGCTAATATTTACCCCTTCCCACACTGGTATTCCCATACACCGAAGAGAGACATCACGATCACAACGACAAAGCAGCCCCCGGCAAAGATGGTGGATGACCAATCAAATCCCAGTTGGTTGACAAGGGCGCCCCCAAGTGTTGGACCCACGAAAGTTCTGAAGGAAAGTAGTATGAATGAAGTTTTATCCTAGAGACTTGATAGAATTTTGATTCAATTTTGTGATTAGATTGCAGCATATAATATTACGAATACAATACTTCATGACTTTCGAAATTCTGAGTGTTATGCATCTTGAACACCAAGCTTTTAAAGAGACTCGGTAACATTGCCTCAGATTCTGAAACAAAATCCTGGAATTAGCTCATGCTGCAATCATAATTATAATCCTTTAGGTCAGTCAGGAATCCCATGACTTTTACAAGCTGATCGTCTGTCTGATTATCAAGTTATTTATGATTGTAAATCGAAATTTCATTTTTTCATTTTCCTAACAGTTTTTATAACACTACAGTCTATTGGGCAAAATGAGTATGGTAAAACCAGTAACTCAAAGATGTTTTGAGGCACTTCATGATCATTTTAAAGCGCAATTTGTTTAGGGCTTCAATATTACACTACATCACAGACACTGATAACACGTAGGGCCATGCATCTCAGATTTAACATTGTTAAATGATGCCTTTAAAAACTAGCCATTCTATTATATCTGGAGGGTCACATGACCTATGCCAAGTACATTTCAGCCGGCCAATTTAGGGTTTTTTCGTCTTGATTTAAAAAAAAAAAAACTTTTTGTACATGAACAAAATTGTAAAAATCACACACTGTTATACAACTTTTTCTTATTCATTATTACTCCAGAGGACAGTAAAAACAATATTGTAGAAAGAAAAAAAAAATGAATTAATGAAATTGAGCCGAGTGATTTGAATCAGCCTGTATTAAACATACAAAAAGGAAATTAATGTTTTTTTTTATTCACTAAGCGAATTTCATTTGTATTTATCATCCAACTCTTCACACTTTAGACTTATATTCTTGTCATGTTAATTTAAAGGTAATTATTCCCATTTCTGAACATACCCTAAAGAAAATGCTCCATTGAACAGCCCGGATAAAATAGCTTGTGTTGAAAGATCCTCAGGTAACCCATACCATCTACAGAATAAACAAACATAAAAAGTCATAACATGGGACCACATAAAGTGGTTCACATTAACATTCAGGTAACTAAAATTCAGGTGGTAACAACAACAAATAACATTTGTCACAGTAAGACCACATAGCAGCAACATGAAATGTTATAACTTAACTTACAGCATAAGAAGCACTGACTTGCAATTTGTAATAACATTCCAAAGAAACTGAAAGTAACTTTCTGAAAAGTAACTGGTTTCAACATTCACAGAATCAAACTCACGACAGAGAGTTATTACTCCTAAATATCAATACCAATTTACGTGTTTACTTGAATAAATATTTGTCTTTAATATCATCAAAGATTAATATCTGTAAATGGAATAAACATACAACTCAAATGGAAATGAAAGATTTTGCAATTATCAAAGGATATATCATTATCTCACAGGAGATATTTAGAGCAAGTAAGTTATCCTTTTTATACTTTTTATACAAAATCACTTGAAATGGTTCAGAACTAAGAAGAAGAAAAAAGAAAGAAATGATTTTAAATTTTTTTTAAAAAAAAGCAAAGAAGAAATGAAAGTGAAAACTTACTTGGCACTTATAAGAAGATCTAGAAATGCTGGCATAATTCCAATCCCTATAGAAAAGCCCAGTAATGCAAGGGATATCATGATGATCCATAATTTACTGTTAAAAAAATGAAAATAAAAACATACTATCAGCAGAAGTTGATATCACTTATAACACTGGCAATACACCAATCACACCAAGGAGACCAATGCCAGACTGTTTCTGGCATCACTAACAATATTGAATGGTTTTTCAAAACATTTTTTCATTTTCCATGAAATAAATGGGGGAAAAAGACATGTCACACAGAACAAGGAATGGCCCTGCACTGTTTGTTTTCACATATGGTTAACTGTGCAACAAGTCGAGTTCTGGGAAGAGGTGAACAATAATTTATGAGCGTTATCATTGTTATTATGCAAGTGTAGGAGAACAACAGATAAAAAATGTTCCCTAAAAAGCATGGCTCTTCAAATGCCTTAATATTCTAAATATGGCAAGTAATATTATAAAATTCGGGACAGATTTTTATGCCGCATGTTCGTGTAGTCCCATATACATCTTTCAGTGTCTAGTGCTTGTAACTTTACCAAGACTGGGCCAAATTTCTTATTATTTTGATGATTCCAGAACCCTGCAGTACACACCAATACTTATTATATACTAGATGATCAACATTTTCTGATCAATTCCACGTTTCTTTCACAATTTAATCGCATGACCAGAACTCAACTTTATCTTTAATGGTACTCACCCTGGGAGATCGAGGAGAGGACTCGGGCCAATCAGCATGAATGAAATCCCTATGATGTAGAAGCCTAGAACCATCATGATACGGGTCATTTTCTGGAAGATCACAATCAAAGACAAACTGTTGTTTAGACAGGGTTTCACAACAACTGGAATTCAAGTGCAATTGTTCCAAATTTAGAATGACTCCTGGATTCAATCAAATTGTTTATGAAAAGAGATGAAGATAGAACCACATTAAATTCTCATATAAAGAGTACTGCACAGAGATACATCTTCATTTAACCAGCTTTGAATATGCTTCATGTTTTATAGTCCATTGAATAGTTTAATGAGACAAAATCATGGCAAAGTCAACAAATTCAAATCTTGTTAAACAATTCTATAAATTCGGATATCAGCACACAATTGTTGACAACTGGTAAACACAGCAGTCCCTATAATGACAGTCCCAAATAGGGCAATAAAAACTGGTTTGCTGCTGCTCAGATGAGATTATGTATCACTAATCAAATAAAAAACAAAGGTAAAAAATCAAATAAGGCCTGTCTTCATCAGCTCGAGATTGCAAAAAAAGCCCGCTATTTCTGATTTGGGAAATAATCATTCAGTGATTTGGGCTCTTAACACAAAGACAAGAACAAGATACTTACGTAAACTTGGTAGAATAAATATCTCAGATGATAGATATGACCATAGCTGTGCAGCGTCATAGAAGTTAAAAATTGCGTCTTCATCACCTCGAAACTTGAAACTCAAGCTCAAGAAATTAGCTAGAGATATTTTGCTCAGCGTTCGCGCCTAGTGCGTGTCTTCGGGCTAGTGAAGATGCACTGAACAGATAGCGGGATACTTTGCAAGCTAGCCCAAGATATCTTGGGATGATTATATCGACCAAATATCCCGCTAATTGCAACTCCGGGCTGATGAAGACGCAAATTAACTGGATAATTTGCGATTGGGATAGTTCAAATAGCCAGATATTTGGCAATCTCGGGCTGATGAAAACAGGCCTATTCAGCATATATCTTCAGCTGCCCACCATGAGAGCCATGCATTGTTAATGATAGTAATGGCCTTCTTGCAAGTAGCTGACGAAATGTAATCTTCAACTTATCATCTCATACAATTTTAACTTTGATACAATGCCTGTCAACATTTGAAAACAAGAAATCTGTACACGTAACCGGCGATCTCACAGTCTTACCATGGCCATGTATGCAACTGTAGCAATACACGGTAAATATGTACAAACAAAAAAAAATCAAATACAAATTTGTTGCTTGATCGTGCAGCCTTTCAAAGCAGATAATACGCGAACTCTCAAATCACAGGACATGGTAGAACAAGCCAACTTTAAAAAAAAATATTTAAAAAATAATTATTTGGTCATTCAGACTTGTGAAAAATCAGAATAATCCAATTAAATTGGAACAGTTGGCAGGTATGCGATACGATAAAGTAATCAAAAGTTATTGTGAATCCAATACAAGATTACTTACCTTTTTATCAGCTATGTAGCCCCAGATTGGTGCGAAGAGTGCATACATTCCACCAATGAGTAGAAACATCACACCCACCATAGAAGGGTGGACATTTAATGGAGGCTAAAATGGTGTAAAAATGTAACGATACATCAACATTTATCAAACAAGGGAAATTCCCTTGGCAGTAGTGAAAATCATCAGAGCAGCATTCTGATTTGGTAAAAAATCAAAGTTGGGGCACGTAAGGGGCGCTGTCATAGAGACCCTAATGGGCCAGGGGGTGTTTCACAAAGATTCTAAGTTGAACTTAACTCTAAGTTGGACTTAAATATTATGGAGATCCATTTGTAGCCTTAAAGACCATCAATACTACTGGGATTAGACCACACAGCGAGGTCACTGACAGGTGGCTATCTCATTAACTCGGCTCTCAACTCACATAAGAAAAAGAGGATCATGGGGACCAACAGGCACCGATTGGGGAAGTTTTCTATATAGAGGGAGCAAGTAGCTACAAGTAGGACAGTGGGGCTTTAAAATAAAATATATTCAAAGCAAAAATTCAAGAATTTTATTTTTTTTATAAATTCCACATCAAGAACATGAAATCTCCTTGACAGAGCTGCCAACCTTTGGAAGTACAAATTAGTACTCAGCGCCTCCAAAATTAGTATTTTACCATCAAAATTAGTATTTTTCAACCGGCCTTCCTTTCACCTATTAAAAACCTATTGATGTCGTAACACAGCGCAAATGCATACTGTAAAGACCACATTTTTGCTGTAATTAGTTTTTTAAAAACATATTCAATTGTACATGTTGGCCGGGCCAGTAAAATTTCAGAAAAATGTTCGGGGTTCGGTAATATAATAGCGAGCAGCGTTATAGCCTCGACGGTCGGCACTGGGCGGACCGCCCGCCCTGCCGGGCCCGACCAGCACGGACAGACTTCTGCACACTGCTTCCGACCAGCACGAATTTCACATTAAAAAACTGCTCTAAACGTAATTATTTGTGAAGAAGAATACTACTTACATTCGTATTTTCGTCTTGAATCGTGTTTTATTTTCAATTTTAAAAGAATCATGTTTTCAATTTGTCGATAGATGATATTTTTTAAAGATTTTCCGAGACGGTTTTTGTTTAATGTTAGAGTCATGAAAGCTGTCATCTTGAATAGGCTCGTCAATAACTGTTTTTTATAAGTTTTTATTTTCAATAGGAAAAATATAAAATCCCTATATATATATATATATATATATATATATATATATATATATATATATATATAAAATCCCTATATATATATATATATAAATCACAAAGGCGGAAAATGGGAAAAAAGTAAATATAAAATGAGCAATCATGACATGAAAATTAGGTACAAAATGACAAGTTTATTAGCTTGCAAAAAGTTTACATTTTTCTGCCGAACATCCGAAACCACGCCTTTGCGTTCGGTTCGGTTCGGAAGTGCCATGTTAGGCGAACTTCCGTTCGGTTCGGCGGTTCGGCTACAGCACTACTTTAAAATAACTTTTAAAAAATGTTTTCAAAGATGCTAACGGCTTTCCATAATTGTTAAGTCCAACTTAGAGATAAGTTCAACTGAGGATCTTTGTGAAACATCCCCCAAGTCCCCTATTTGAATGGCTTACATCCGATTCATCGGTTTGAGTGGATGTAATCTTTAGTTTAAATAAAATTGAGCGAATCTTTTAGGGTGCTGTCCCTCATACCCCTCAAGGACAATGTCCTATATTTCAAAACGTTTGAACTCTCCTTTCACTGCGAATGATTCCTACCAAGTTCGGTTAGAACCTAGTCATCCAGAGACAATATGATTATCAAATTTAAGCCCCTCTGCACTAGTTTGGCCAGGAGGGATTGGACCTCCCTGCATGGTCACTGACAGGTGGTTTTCTTATCAAATCAGCTCTCAATGAACATGAGAAAAAAGGGACCATGGGGGCAGACCTGCCAACCTCTGGAGTTCAAAAACTGTATTCTTTAGTGTCAAAGTTGTATTTTACTGACAAAAGTTGTATTCTTGAAAATAAACACGGATTGTTACGCGAATCAATGCCTCTTACAGTTTCTACCTACAGGAAGATTTTTTTTTTATTGATCATTGGTTGAATATGCATTATTTCGTCACGACTGGTGTGTTCGATGAACCAATAAACATCCCCAAATTGCTGATGTGAGATGCTTGTAGGATACTTTACAGGACAGAATGGACATTTTGCCATTGAAAATGGCGGACGCACACACAAAATATTAATTAAAAAAATATTAAAAAGTAAGTAGCTGTAAGTAGTGCAGTGGGGCTTTAAAGCATATAAAAGAGAGGTAGATAATGGATGTTATTACTTACAGAGGTGAGATGGAGAGACAGTGTTGGGTCTGAGAACCCCAAGCAAGCACTACCCCAGACGCAGGCTGCAAGCACTATCAGTACAGCGGGTATCTTAAGCACTGTCAATATAGATCCTGGCTTCTCCTTTCTGCTTGCAGGTGCTGCTTGGACACAAATAATAATAGTTATAATAAAAAAAAAAAAAGATTTTACATTTTGGAATAACAGGTTTTTATCATCCTTCTGATGGTCCGCACACGACATTATTATTCCTGTGGTCTGAACAGTAGAATCATGCTATGATACATGACCAAGTACAAATACATAAGCAAGCAGTGAGTAGAACATAAAGATCAAAATACAAATTACATAAGACATTACATCAGTCAAACACAATAAGAGAGGTCATATCATGCGTAGGTAACTGCAAAGAACTTAAAGTAGCCACACAAAGAATCAAAAATGTTTTGAATTGATGCAAAACTCATATCATTGCGAAGGGGAAGCCTTGCCGATCAAATACAACAACTCTTCTCTTCAAATATGTTTGGGGCCCGCATTAATCAACTTTCACAAATGTTAGTTTTGAGATCTAGATTTTCTGCCTTCAGCGGTCCTTTGTAGAGCATCAATATTTGTGACGTCACATACGGGACACGGCTGGCTAGCTGCATAAAGCTACACAGCACTGAGCTGTACGTCCAGTGTGTGACGTCACAATTCAGAGCTCGCTACGCTTGTGTGTTTGACTTAGGTTCAGGGGCGTTCGGGGATCTAAGGAGGGTCTTGAAAAATTGCATTTTACGCCTTTCCATGATATCTATATGATTTCTCAGCAAATTGTTCGTGTTTTTCAAGAAAAAATCTTTCCATCCATATGTAATTTGTTCTAATTATGAGTTGTTAGTAAATTTTCTTTGTGTAGCTCCTTTAAATTGACTTCCACTCAGGCATCAAGTTTGTTGAATAAAAACTAGAGCGTCAATAAAAATATACTAATTAATTCTGACAAAGGCTTAGCAAATTAAAACTTTTAGGTAATAAACAAAATGTCAAATCTATGATCCCAGTTTGTTATGAGCACTATTCTATATTATAAGTAAAGCTCAATCGTATAAGTTCTTTACATAAAGAAAAACCTACAACATGAAACCGAATCTGCCAGAACACAAAGATAAGAACAAGGTACTTACGTAAACTTGGTAGAATGAATATATCAATGACAGATATGACCATAGCTGTGCAGCCTAGAGCCAGGAAAGGAAGCTTGTAACCACCTATCTGTGTCATTTTATTTTTCAAAGAGGAAGAAAGAAAAATGCGCTTTAATCACTTGATATTTTTTCTATTTTCACATCTAGTACATGACCAATAAATTTGAATTGAATTGAATTAAATTAAGCAGTGCCAGGTCATTATCTTGTATATTCTTTATTTAAAATTCACTTTTTAAATCATGGCGGCATTACGAATATACAGTTTATGTTTTCTTCATCAACTTCATCCGTATTTTAGAAAAAAAACAGCAAAAAAACAAGTATAGTTCACCAAGAAAAAACATACTATCATGTATTTATGAGAAAATTCATAATAATTATGGTACAATTTGAATTATTCATATTTGTAGATAACATATTACTTACTCCATACAATAGACTGCCAAGAGGGGCCCAGCTGCAAACCCAAGACCACTGAATAACTCCAACATACCCTGAAAGGCAAAAAGAACATTGGTATAAATCAACATAACCCTGATAATGATTACCACTCTACACCGATTCAGAGAGCTGAACATGGAAAGTGTCAGGTGCCATTAGGCCTAAAAGAAAAGATGTTGTATTGCCCTTTGCGACTGACCCAAAATCTTGAAATCTACGGTCGGCTTTTTAATTTTTTAATTTTTTTTTTTTACCGTTTTTTTTAGGAAAAAAATTTAATAATAAAAAAATAAATAAATAAAAAAATAATATGTTAAAGTCCACTCCAACTTTTATTAAGTTAAACTGAAAATGGAAATTCTTTTTGCCCAATTGATCGTGAGCCCGGCAGCCACTGTCCAGCACCAGATTGACGTTGCTCTATCCCTAAAGCATTCAAAACTGAAAAATGTTAACCCAAAGAGGGAGTAAAAAATTGAAGAAAAAAAAAAAAAAAAAAAAAAAAAAAAAAAAAAGATTTCTGACCGACTGACCCATGCTTTGGCACCTAATAAAGGGAAATACAACATCTTCTTTTTTTAGGCCTTATTAGGGGCCATCAAGTATGCTAAATATTAGTTAAGATATCCTCGCTTTAGTTCAGGTACGGCCATGCACCTGTCTGGTTACATACGACATTGAATCATCTCTCGTGTTGCTCTTGGATGCCCCCCCCCCCCCCCAGCTAAGGTGGATTGAGTCCTACAGTGGTCCCAGAAACCATGGAGGGTGTATCACAAAGATCCTAAGTTGAAGTTATCTCTAAGTTGGACTTAACAATTATGGAAAGCCTTTAGCGTCTATGAAAATATATAGTAAAATTTGTTTTAAAAAGCATAGAATGTTGATTCAAATCATTCATATTTTCTATTATCAAGGAGATTTCATGTTCTTGATGTATTGTGGAATTTATAAAAAGTCTAAATACTTGAATTTTCGCTTTTGAACAAGTGCAGGGTAGGGCAACTCACACTCACAATCTAATCATACAGCATGACTAGGTAGGGCTTGAAATAAAAAATAAAGTTCTGAGAATATAACTTGTAGGTTAACTCACACTCATCTGTGCAATATTGTCGGGGAAGACGTTTGCACAAATAGACATGCCCGCTGTTATCGCTGCTGACGATCCTAAGGCTTCCACTATGCGAATGGTGAAACAGTAGGCCAGGAACATGGTCTTGCCTTGAATCTCGTCCAAAAACCTGTTTATGTTGAAATAAGATGTTTAAAAAAAAAAAGTCAAATTGATTCTAAATGATTGTCGTTTATGATATGATATGATTGTAGGGTCCTCAGGGAGAACAGTATTAATACTGTTGAGGCTACCCTGGGTAAAAGGGACATATTATTATCATTATTTGAATATGAGAACATGAATAGCCTCTGTTTAAATGGTCCGTTTTGGGCTTTCCATTCGTTCCTGCAGGGTACTATGATGAGTATACAATGTACTCAGGGGCGTACACAGGGGGGGGGGGGGGGGGGGGGGGGGGGGGGGTTTTTGGGGTTCAAAACCCCCCCTTTGGTATTTTTAAGTGTGTAAACCCCCCTAAAAAAAACTAAAACCCCCCCCCCTTTGTTTTGTTTTTTGTTTTAATTAAAAAAAAAAAATAAAAAAAAAAATTATGCCCACGGCTAACGTAAAGTGACCTTACCCCCCCCCCCCCCCCAACAGAAAAAAATGTCAAATTTCGAGACCAAAAAAAAAAAAAAAAAGTGTCCGCTTACCCCTCCCCCCCCCCCCCCCCAACTGAGCAACTTTTCGGTTGGCTGAGTCGTTGCGATTAAAAAAAAAAAAAAAAAGTGTCCGCTTCCCCCCCCCCCCCCCACTGAGCGACTTTTCGGCCGGCGCGATTTTCAAATTTTCGGGAGCAAAATATTTTGGGCCAGATTGTAAAACCCCCCCCTTGAAAAAATCCTGCATACGCCCCTGAATCTACTGCTGTATATGTTTCCTGAATACTCACCCAAATAATAAATTGCAGCCAGCTCCAACAAAACATCCACTCAGATACATGAATTTAGCTCCAATGACCGGCAGCTATAGAGAGAATTAACCAATGAAATGAACTAATGAATTAATCACCTGCACACAAAGATCAATTGTCTTACATAGAAAACACTTTTTGTTTCCTATGAGCAGTGTTTCTCAATAGAATGTAAGATACCTGTACTTAAAGACCAGCTGCCTATAAAAACCACATTTCTTGTCTCTCTTGAGTGGTCATTTCATGTGCGGTCTTGAGGCGTGACAAGTTACGGTAATGCTGATATTCAATCAGATCTGTACAGTGGAAAGCTTACAGAGAATGTTCAGTTCTGAGTCCTGGGGGTTATAACAAATACTAAGAACAAATTTGAGTTGGACTGAACTATGGCAGGCCATTCATGCCACTGGTTGCTCTCACTATTGGTCTCTCAATTATTATCCTCATAATATTTTGTCCTTCAATAATGATTCTATCAAAATTCAAAAAATGTAAATTCTGTAGATTTGTGACCATGATTTGTATGTCCCTTGAGAAACCAATGCCAGGAATGGTCAGAGGAACTAGCAGCATGAACGGCCTGCCATAGTTCAGTCCAACTCAAATTTGTTCTTGGTCTTTGTGAAACACCCCCTGGTATTAGAAAAGGATGTAGAATCATTCAGGAGCTTTCTCACTTCGTTTATTTGTATGTGGAAAAATATCATAAAAGCTACATCACATTAAACACAAAATCACCCTAGATATGTCCTCATATGGTAAGCAAATATTAATCGACTATGAGGGTAATGGTGCAGACTATCATCGCCGAAGTGATCTCGGGGCTAATATCTTCCCGAGTCGCAAGGCGAGGGAAGATGGTAGCCCCGAGATCACTGAGGCGATGATAGTTCGTATCCATTGCCCGAGTAAAGGACGTTAATATTTGTTTTATATCCCACATCGGCAATAAGGTCTATTTAAAGTGAATTTTACATAATTAAAACAACTGATTTTGCAGACAGTTTAGCTTCAGCTAGATTTTACAAAGCACAACATGCGTACATGTAATACAGTCGATGCGCGCTCATTTGACATTGACATTGACTTTGACATTTCGCGTAACCTACTTTGCTATGCTTATTCAATGCGCAAGTCGCGCAAGTGGGGCAGCAGCAAAAAATTACTTTACAAAAAGACCTATCTTAGGTAGATAGTACTTATCTATACCTTTTTCGTGCTCTGTACAATCGCAATGCAAACAACTATACATGAGGGATATAATATCTAATATCTATGACAAGAAATACTTAAAACCTTTAGACAATGTAATATATTATACCATAATTGCATGTCGCTTGTGATATTCAACAAAATTTAGTTCTTTGATTTCAATAATTCAAAAAAGTCACACAACAATACACAAATCAGATCTTATTTGCCACATGTTCAATCATCTGTGATAACTTATGGACAGTTCCTGTTGCAATGCAGTCATACGATGACTAGGAATCAACTTCAACCGAAATTCTTTCTGGTTAATTGTCTTGGACTTGGAGTATAACGAAGCTGTGGGCAAAGGGTATACATGTACATGTATGTCATACTCACATATTTGCCACAAATAGGAGACACAAGAAAACTGGTAAGAGAAAAAATACCAAACACAAGTCCCGTCTCAGCTGGAGTTACACCTTTCTTCTCCGCCTGAATAAGAAAAATTGGACCATAAGAAAAGAAAGAATTAAACCAGTGGGCCGAAATCACAATCTTTTATCTGAACAATTAGGGTCACATTTATCTGTATATTGTTCATTGAAAAATGAAACTCCTGATTACTCATACTTTGGTAACTGTTTTCAACGGAACAGGTAAACATTTTTTTTTTTTTTTTTATTTTTTTTATTTATTTATATTTCACCAGGGTAGCCCATTCAACAAAAAGTTGGTCTTCCATGAGGCCCTGTAAAACATGTATATACAATTAAAAAGATAAAACAAACAATTAGGTATGAATACATTAATAGAACAGTATTACATATTGAAAATAAATATACAATATCAAACATATTAATCAGTGTCAATTATGATGAATGCTATTATAAATAGATCACTTGCTAAGAGAGTAAAGGATTAAGTAAAAGAAGCGAGAGCTTAAAGAAAAATAGAGGCAGACTAGCAGTAAAAAATAATTTAAAAAAGGTGTTCCTCAAAACCTATCCTGATTCAACAGCAAGGTGGAAAAAATATTTCTTAAGTGCCAATTTGAAGGTCTTTACATTACTTATCTGCTTAATATTAGAAGGTAATTTATTCCATAGAGAAGCACCATCATAACTTATTGCATTCTCAAGGTATTGTGGCGGCCGCCCCCGCCTCCGTCTCCAACCTCGACCTCTACGTCGGGATTATTCTCATTCCCAGCTGGGGAAACTGATTCTTTATATCTGTCAGGATATTCGTCAGCCGACATTATTTATAATGTATGTCCGAGCGGTTAGAGTAATTAGATCTTATCTTTTATTTGAGGAAAGACGGGGGAAGCTACAATACTTATTTACGTTCGTTTCGTCGAAATATACGACTTATGACGGAGTACCAGTCAAGAAGAAAAACAAAGTGTTTATAGACTCATAATTTCAGTTTTAAGACAAAAGAAAATGGTCAATTTTTATTAATGCATGTACTTCAAATATTTACATCTTTATATCACCACTGTCACAAATACCTTGTGCTCATAGTATACTTAATAAATTTATACGATTGTCGTTATTATATTCGAATACATGTAAAAAGTGAAGGGCAATGATTCATTGGGATTTATGGGACTTGGGAGTTTTCCGTCTTAGTTTAATTCCATAGCATCATAGGGGGAGAGGTGGACTTAGAATATTCCTGCATCTTAATAATAGTGGTTCATTAATTCCAGCATCTTAATTCCAGCGTAGACTTCCTTGTGTACCTTTATATTCCAGGGAGGGAGAGAGATCTTATGTGTGGTACCAGTTCCGACGAGCGCCCAATTCCAAGACAAGTCCTTAGGTGGGGGGGGGGGGATTTCCAGGGAGAGACTAATAGTTCTGATTCCGACGAGCGTCCAATTCCAACTCAATTAAGTCCTTAGGTGGGGGGGGGGGGATTTCCAGGGAGAGACTAAATAGTTCTGATTCCGACGAGCGTCTAATTCCCTCTCCTCGCGTTTTAGAAATGTTACGGGTTATAAAGGCATAATGCGGACGTGGGGGAAATCGATGCGCTAAGCGATCTTGGAAAGTACGCGCGCAGCGAAAATGGATTTAACATGAAGACTGTGCTAGTTCAGAGCAAAATATCTAAGTAAATTTCTTATTTTACCATTAATTAAATACAACACTCTGAATGACATATCATTTGCAGTGAATATTAACAAGTCACATTGTCTAAACAACTTTCCTTCCAAATTCATGTGATATATTGATAAACAATTACAGTTTAACATCTTAAAGCATCTCAATAATGGATCCAAATGTCAATCGCTCGTATGCAAATTATTAACGTAAACATTGTGCGTCGGTGTATGATGACGCGCTTGAAAACAACAATCGTTTAAGTTAGGCCTCTTTGTTACGTCACGACCGCGGAGCGGATCGTTACACAGCCCTCCTCCTTACAAAATGCGTCCTCGCATTTAAAACATTAGGTTTTCCTGGGCGATAACCTTGTTACAATGCAACCTTGTCTAAATTCGATTGCAAGTATATTAAAACCAAAAATATATATCATATAACTTCGCTCAATATTACCAATAAGGTAGGTGACATTTGGAAGAAAGCACTTGTCTTATTTTGCCCACTTTTTTTTTTCCTTCTTCTCTGTTACATCACAATCTCTCTTTCAACACGAGCATCAATCAAATATACATCTACAACATAAGACATCTGCTTTTCTTCCAAAACTTGTCAATTCTTTGTTCCTATGCAACATGGAACGTGCACTTATCTTTCTTAATTTTTTATCGCCCTAGATTACCTATTACAAATAAATTCTAATTCTTAAATCTACTCAGTGGCGTTACAATGTCAATAATGTTCATTTATATACAATACAAGCAATGGAATCTGTATAAGGAAGAGATATAGATGAGAAAACAGAGTTGAATAGAAGAAAGAAAGAAGTGAGATAGAAAGTTATAGAGAAGGAAAGAGGAGAAGGAAACAGATCCAAAGTAAAACAAATATTATTCTAAACTTTATTTCCACAAAACCATTTCTAATAAAAGAAATGTGCGGGTCTTCTATTCCTCAGTGGATAGCGTCGAGTATCTTCTTGTCTTCTATTTACAGTCACGTCTTGCGTTGAATCTTGATCAACCTCTTCAGAGTTGGACTCCATCTCTCTGGCATCATTTCCAGCATCTTCCCGTCTAGTATGAGCCGTCTTCCATTCCTTAGGCTCGTCTCCTTCACATGGTTTCAAACGGTCAAAGTGTACAACCTTCATCTTGGTTCCAGGACTCTTTTGGATTCTGTATGTCACATCAGACAACTTCGTCTTAATCTTGAATGGGCCATTCCATCTGTAACTTAGTTTGGGACTGATGCCTTTGTGTCTCTGATTATTTCGTAACCAAACGAAATTTCCTTCTTCGTAACTACTTCCAGCAATCTTCTTGTCGTAGTTTCTCTTCTGTCTTCGGAGATTCTTCTGACTGTGTTCAGTAATCCTTGTATAGACTTTATCCATCCTGTCTCGTAGTTCGTCGACGTAGTCTGTTCCAACTTCCATATCTGGTTGGATCATGTACTGATCTGAAAGCATTTTCAGTTCTCTTCCGAACATCATCATGTTTGGCGTTTCTCCTATTGTCTCATGAACTGAACTTCTGTATGCCGTTGTAGCTACATGTACATACTTGTCCCAATCTCGCTGATTCTTTCCAGGCTCTATTAGCGTGACAAGCATATCGAGCAATGTTCTGTTGAAGCGTTCAATCATTCCGTCTGATTTAGGGTTATATGCCGTCGTCCTTGTCTTCTTTATTCCCAAGATCTGGCAAACTTCTTTAAACAACTGTGACTCAAAGTTCCTTCCTTGGTCTGTGTGAATCTCAGTTGGAACCCCGTATCTACATATAAACTCTTCAACTAGTTTGGGTGCCACAGTACTTGCTTTCTCATTAGGTATGGGATAAGCTTCTACGAACTTAGTGTAGTAATCGGCTACTACCATTATGTACTTGTTTCCGTCATTCGTCTCTGGCAAAGGTCCTAGTATATCAAGAGCGATCCGTTCCATCGGACTTCCACTTCTTCTCTGCTGTAGAGGTGCTCGCCTCTTCTTACCAGCTGACTTCCGTCGAGCACAAGATTCACATTTACGGATGAAAGACCTCACATCTGCCTTCATTCCTACCCAGTAGTATCTCATCTGACTACTCTTCAGTGTCTTAGTTGCTCCCAAATGACCAGCTAGAACACTACCATGAAGTTCTTTCAAAACTTCATCTATTTTCCTTCCAGGTAATACTAGTCGCCATTTCACTTCTTTGCCATCTATAGATTCCCATCTACGGTAGAGTATTCCATCTCTGATTTCAAGTTGTTCCCAATGCTCTAACAAGACTTTAACTTTCTTAGACATTGCGGAAACTTCTTCCTTTGGTGGTCTGGTCTTCATTTCCATAGCCTCTAGCACAGGCTTTATATTTGGGTCGTCTAGTTGATCTTTCCTCATCTCAGACAGTCTCTTCTCATTTGTCATCATTATTACACGGGCTTTGGCTGTTTCTTCCTCCTTGACCTTGAACTCGCACTCCAGTCCTCTTCCACACTGGCCACATGGTCTTCTCGACAATGCATCTGCATTTCCATGACTTCTACCAGCCCTGTGAATGATCTCTATATCATAAGCTGCGATGACCTCAAGCCATCTTGCCAGCTGTCCTTCAGGGTTTTTGAAATTCATTAGCCACCTTAAAGCTCCGTGATCTGTTCTCACTGTTACATGTCGACCGTAGAGATATTGTCTGAAATGCTTCAAGTAAACGACAACTGCGAGTAGTTCCCTTCTTGTAACGCAGTAGTTCCGTTCTGCCTTACTTAGCACTTTACTTCCGTAAGCAATTACTCTTTCCTTTCCATCTTGTACTTGTGACAACACTCCTCCAATCCCATCCTTACTGGCGTCTGTGTCAAGAATGAATGCACCTTCCGTATTCGGGTATCCCAGAATAGGTGCAGTAATCAATCTTCTTTTCAACTCTTCAAACGCATCCTGACAGACAGAGCTCCATTCGAACTGTCCGGCACGGCGCTTTTCCGTGAGTTGATGAAGAGGTTTGGCTATACTAGCAAAACCTTCAACAAAACGTCTGTAGTAGGATGCAAGACCAAGAAAACTTCTAATTTCCGTCACATTCTTCGGCGTCGGCCATGTTTTTACAGACTCAACCTTCTCTGGCTGTGTTGAGACTCCCTTGCTTGATACTTCGTGTCCGAGATAGGACACCTTCTTCCTGAACAGAAAGCATTTCTTTGGTTTTAACTTTAAGTTGGCTTGTCGTAGTCTACAGAATACTTGACGTAACCGAGAAAGTTCCTCTGGTATCGATTTACCAAAGATAATCAAATCATCTAAGTAGACAAGTAATGTCTCCCAATGCAATCCGGTTAGTACTTTATCCATCAATCTCTCAAAAGTGGCTGGGGCGTTACAAAGTCCAAAAGGCATCACGTTCCATGAGTAGAGTCCACCATCAGCTACGAAAGCTGATTTTTCCTTAGCATCTTTGCTTAAGCCTACTTGCCAGTATCCACTTGCCAAGTCCAGGGTTGAAAACCACTGCGCTCCTGACAAAGCATCCAATGTTTCGTCTATACGAGGTAGGGGGTAGGCGTCCTTGATCGTGGCAGCATTCAGTTGCCGATAATCCACGCAAAATCTCTGAGTTCCGTCCTTTTTCTTTACGAGTACAATGTTTGAAGCCCATGGACTATCAGTTGGTTCAATAAGACCTTTCTGTAGTAGCCCTTCCACTTGCTCCTTGATTTCGTCTCTCTGCCCAAAAGGGTGCTTGCGTGGTCGTTGTCTAATTGGTCGCTGAGTTCCAGTATCTATCTTGTGTTGTACCAAATTAGTCCTTCCAATATCATCATCTCCTCTTGAGAATACATCCTGAAATTCCGTCAATAACTTTGCCACGTCTTGGCGATACTGATCTGGTATTCCTTCTGTACTTCTCTTTAGCAAATCCCTCAAATGTTCCGGAACTTTTCCATCACCAACAGTGGTGTACTTGGGGACTTCTTGTACTTCACTTGTATCTATTACGGTCATCATAGCGATTGGTGTGTTCCTCTTTATTACTTTGTTGGAAGTAGATGGGTTGAATACTCTAACAGGCACTAACTCCTCCCCTGTCTTGATTAGAGTTCTAGCTGTAATGAGTCCTTTCTTCACTAATTGTTGTTGAACATTTCCAGCCTCTATTAAACCTAGGGTGTTAGATTTAATTCGATCTCCTTCCTTCATTGATCCAAGTATTACAGCTTCATGTCCTGCGGGGATTGTAGTAGTTTCTGACGCAGTTATGCGGAAGGATAGTCTTTCTCCACTTTCATTCTTGCACTCTACTTTGCCCCATTTTGTGGTGAGTTGGAAATTAGTCAGATCAATGCTAGCCCCCATTCTTGTTAGATTGTCCAAGCCGAGGATTCCATCACTACTCACATCTGCTACCAAAACTGTAATTACTCCTTTATTTGGTCCTATCTTCATCTCATGAGTTATTGCTCCATAAATGGCTAATGGTGAACCATCTGCTAACTGTGCACTTATGCTACGATGTTGCAGAGGGGGTCTATCTTTTTCATCTAATTGTTCATATGATCGTCTAGAAATGTAAGAATCTGAAGCACCAGTATCAACTAGAAATTTGTATTCCTTGTCCTGAATGTGCACTGGAACATAAAGACCATCAACATTTTGATTTATACTGGGTATGAAACTTGTCTTTGTTTTGCTAGTTTGGGTCTCAATTAATTTTGGACGATTGGCCGCGCCACGACCCTTTGGGGCGACCACTTGTCGTTTGACTGACGCTGATATCTTTGTCTTGACCAGTTAGATTCACCACTTGGATAGTTCCTTCCTCTTCGATCCATTTGTTTCTCACGGCATTCCCTTGCGAAATGGCCAGGTTTCTCACAATAGAAACATGTTTGGGTTTTCACAACAATTCTTCCTTCATGCGCTGTTTGGCTTGGTCTTTGATTAGTTCCTGGTTTCTTCACATATCCCTGACATATTTCCTTGTTAGGCTGACTTTCCATGGCTTGGCCTAGGACTTTGTTGACTTCATCTTTGATCATCTTCTCTAGATCCACTTCAGAGCCGATTCCTCTACTGTAAGTAGGCTTAACCTTCCATCCATTCCTCTCAGTCTCCGTCTGTAGAAATGTCTCAGTGGTTATTGCTGCTTGAATTACCTCATCTAAGCTTGCTGCCTTAGCATGAAATATTCCCATACGAATCTCACTACTACGAATAGCATCAGTAAAATGAATCCTAGCTAGTCTATCGACCCCTTGACTTTCAAAGTTTGGATATGCCTTATCAGTTAGTTCCCTAATATGACGTCCTAGTTCCTGAAGTGATTCTCCTTGACGTCGCTTACGATTCCTAAGTTCCAACAAATAGCTTTCCGCTTGTTTGGCAGAAGAGAACCTGAATGACAGTTTACTCTTTATTTCTTCAAAGTTCCACTTGGTGCCTCTTTGTTCTTCTAGTAATCTCAGAGCTTGACCTCTCAAGCTAGCAGCTAGATACTTGGCAGATTCCTCATCTTTCCAGTTGTTGATTCCGCAACAAGATTCAAAGTGCGAGGCGTATTCTTTCCAGTCGGTACTTCCATCATACTTGTCCGGCATGATCAGTGGTCGATGAGTAGTTTCCCGAATTCTATCTTCTTTGGCATGGCGAATATCATCATTCCTCTTTTGTGCTTTCATCTGGTTAGTTTCTTCCTTATGTTTCCTCGTCTTTGATTCATCGACATGAGATATTCCTTCCTCGTCTCTATTTTGGATTTCCATTCCTAATTCCGGTCGTCTATTTGGTTTGAAGTTGAATTCCACTTCATCATCTGAAGAATCAGATAGTTCTTCCGTGGAGGAGTCTGGGCCAACAGTCCTCTTCCTTGGTTTCTTTGTCAACTTCATCATTTGCCCCATTAACTTCGTTAGTTGACTTAATATCCGACTTTGTAATTTCTCTGATCTACTCTTCTTTTTCTTTGAACTTTTTGTACTAGACATTGTCTCATCTGAGGAGCAACTTAGCTCATCTATTTCTTTCTTAGACTCTGGTACCTCCGCCATATTAAGAATCCCACTTCTGACACCAAATTTGTGGCGGCCGCCCCCGCCTCCGTCTCCAACCTCGACCTCTACGTCGGGATTATTCTCATTCCCAGCTGGGGAAACTGATTCTTTATATCTGTCAGGATATTCGTCAGCCGACATTATTTATAATGTATGTCCGAGCGGTTAGAGTAATTAGATCTTATCTTTTATTTGAGGAAAGACGGGGGAAGCTACAATACTTATTTACGTTCGTTTCGTCGAAATATACGACTTATGACGGAGTACCAGTCAAGAAGAAAAACAAAGTGTTTATAGACTCATAATTTCAGTTTTAAGACAAAAGAAAATGGTCAATTTTTATTAATGCATGTACTTCAAATATTTACATCTTTATATCACCACTGTCACAAATACCTTGTGCTCATAGTATACTTAATAAATTTATACGATTGTCGTTATTATATTCGAATACATGTAAAAAGTGAAGGGCAATGATTCATTGGGATTTATGGGACTTGGGAGTTTTCCGTCTTAGTTTAATTCCATAGCATCATAGGGGGAGAGGTGGACTTAGAATATTCCTGCATCTTAATAATAGTGGTTCATTAATTCCAGCATCTTAATTCCAGCGTAGACTTCCTTGTGTACCTTTATATTCCAGGGAGGGAGAGAGATCTTATGTGTGGTACCAGTTCCGACGAGCGCCCAATTCCAAGACAAGTCCTTAGGTGGGGGGGGGGGGGATTTCCAGGGAGAGACTAATAGTTCTGATTCCGACGAGCGTCCAATTCCAACTCAATTAAGTCCTTAGGTGGGGGGGGGGGGATTTCCAGGGAGAGACTAAATAGTTCTGATTCCGACGAGCGTCTAATTCCCTCTCCTCGCGTTTTAGAAATGTTACGGGTTATAAAGGCATAATGCGGACGTGGGGGAAATCGATGCGCTAAGCGATCTTGGAAAGTACGCGCGCAGCGAAAATGGATTTAACATGAAGACTGTGCTAGTTCAGAGCAAAATATCTAAGTAAATTTCTTATTTTACCATTAATTAAATACAACACTCTGAATGACATATCATTTGCAGTGAATATTAACAAGTCACATTGTCTAAACAACTTTCCTTCCAAATTCATGTGATATATTGATAAACAATTACAGTTTAACATCTTAAAGCATCTCAATAATGGATCCAAATGTCAATCGCTCGTATGCAAATTATTAACGTAAACATTGTGCGTCGGTGTATGATGACGCGCTTGAAAACAACAATCGTTTAAGTTAGGCCTCTTTGTTACGTCACGACCGCGGAGCGGATCGTTACAGTATTCAGTATGACATTTATCAATAATCAGGTCATGACGAGTACATTGCCGTGTGTAAAAATTATGTTGAGTTGATACTTCTTGAAAAACATCTTTGTGAAAGTCTGAAGATAAATCGTTAAGACATTTAAAAACAAATATACATCTAAAATATTTAACCCTCTCTTGAAATGGTATCCAATTCATGCGAGTAAATAATTCCTTTGATGGGGTATACATATTACAGTTTAAAATCATTCTTGCAGCCCTCTTTTGTAGTTTAGTTATCTTATCTATATGACTTAAAAACCTGTTTCCCCAAATTTCACAACAAGGTAATCATTTTGTGATTGTATGAGACATGTGTATAATAATTTCAATGAAATGTCATCTACATGTACATATGGTTTAACTCTTCTAAGCATGGCAAGTCCGGCAACACTTTTCTACATAAATAATCTACATGATCAGACCATAATATGTTTTTATCGATCATAATACCTAGACATTTAAAGATCTTACATTGTTCAACACATATATCTTCATACTTTAATGTAATACTGTCATTTTTAAAATGGTTTAATCTTTGTTTACTTCCGATGATCATAAATTTGGTTTTATCAACATTCAAATAGAGTTTATTACATTTTATCCATCTACATATAACATTAAAATCACTTTGCAATTTAATTTGTACATCCGAAAAGGTGGGTCCACTTACATAAAGTGTCGTGTCGTCGGCATACATTACAATTTTTCCATGTTTCAAAACTTCTGACATATCATCTATATAAATCAAAAATAGGAGCGGGCCCAACATAGATCCCTGTGGAACTCCAACAGAAATACAGCGATCAGTTGATTTAGAATCATTTATAGCAACATATTGTTTTCTATTATTTAAATACGAGTCAAACCAAGCTAATGATAACTTACTCAAACCTATTTTCTTTAACTTATTTAACAAAATATCTGGATTAACCGTATCAAAAGCTTGTCTTAAATCAATAAAAAGAGCCCCTACAATGAGGCCTTTATCTATGCAGTGTAACCAACTGTCTGTTAAAGCCCCAAGAGCCGAGGCTGTAGAATGACCTGGCCGAAACCGAACTGCGTCTTACTGAGGATATTATGTTCTATTAAATAAGGTTAATGCTAAAGGTTAATCCTTTAATGCTATCTATACCTACATGTACCGTTAACATCTAAGAAATCAGACATTAACCTTATAAACACACTGGGAATAAAATGCAAGCAGACAGAGAGCTGAGACATTAGGACCATTTTACGGGGCTATGATGAAACAATGCAGCAAGGTCACTGACAATTGAATATCACTTAACAAAATTCATATACCATATGTAAATTACATGTAAGACATGTAAAAAAAACATACATGTTTGTCATACAAATAAAAGCGAATTATTTAAATGTTCTAAAAATTTAAGATGATTCTAATGAAATAAAGAACTTAAGATCTTTAATTTTAAAATGAAAGAAGAAACTTCTTTGATTTTTTACTTGAAAATATTTATAGAAGTACAGATTTTATCACATTTACCTCATAGGGAAAGAAAGGAGCAAGCACAGAGAAGGACATCATCGAGGTGAGGTACATAGCGGCGATCCCAGCAAATGTCAGCTTCTGGTTTAGGGTCAGCGGCTTTGATACCTTCTCTTCCCCATCACTCTCACTCTGAGGGTCAGCTGTTGAGTTGATGGAGTCTTGGGTGCCATTAGGACCGGTTGGGTTTGATGGACTGTCTGGAACAGGACCACATCCTAGATCCCCCAAATGATCTGGATCCTGGATTTGAATGTTTCTTGAAGTTTTCTCGTCTTTGTGGTCAGCGAGGAGCTTGACTTTATCGTCTTCCATGGTGCATGAGATCTGTTACTGCAGAGCCATGAAAACCTTGTGAGCAAAGGATACATATTTAAGAAAAGTTTGAAAGCAGATAGGCCTACATATAGGAAGAAAACTGCATTGGTGAGGAGTGACCCAAAGATAGATCTGTGGTTTTGAATACATGTATGGCAATGATATCTCTGATTAAAATATATCTGAAATACATGTTTATATTGGGAGAAACTGAGTGACAGGTTTTTGAATTAATTACCAAGAAAATAATCTACATTTTGCCGTATTTTGTATTCACTGGCAAGCGGCATGGATTGGACATAACATAATGGTTTTGATGCGTCTGTCAAAATAGGAAAAGGAAAACAATGTGACCTAGTCTGTTTTGATTAAGGGTGGCATCTCCACACAACTGCCAATGCCCGCATTTCCTGAGACATTCGAGAGTACAGAAGATCGAAGTACTTATCAATGGCACTCAACACTACAAATCTGTTGAACTTTCTGCACTACTAAATGTCCAACTCCAATCACTTTTGTCCAGTTAGTATACCGAGATACTGGCCAAAATTAGAGGGAAAAAAATATGTTTAAAAAAGCACCTTTTCGGCTCAAAATGTATATGTCACATGCTAAATAACTCAATGAAATTGATATCAACTTGAAGGTATTTTAATTATCCATCTGTTGACACCAAATCCATGGTGATTAGAGGTTTTGCTTTATAATTTATATTTAAAACTTGATGTTAACACACCAAACACGTCCTTAATACACTAATACACGTATATGCATACAGTTTAATGGTAGTACATAAGGGCAAAAATGTATTTAAAAAAAAAAAATCAAATCAATGATTTTGGGTTGCAATAACTTTTCATTGAAAAAATATATAAGCCTCTCCTTCGCACAGGATAATGTGCTTGAGCATGGGCAAGTTCCTAGAAAGTTTCGAAAAAATGCATCTCTCTGATTTTGATATATGGAAAATATCAGTTTTTGATAAAATTCAATACTTCGAAAAATCACCAAAAAATCATGGTTTTTACTTTAATTAATCCTAATTCCATTGAAATTGTTATCAAAATGAAGATAATTCAACTTTCTTTCATATGACACAAAACTCATGATGGTTCAAGGTTTCCTTAAAATATTATTAACAAAATACTATTTTTCGTCAAAAGGGCCACTTTATGGGACGCCCCCTCCAATTTAGGCGTATTCCCTACAATTATATTAAAAAACACCTCTGAAATATTGTTTATTACATATGATAAAATCTTTCGAATAAACAAGGTGTTCTTAGTTTGTGTAGTAGTGCCTAGTGCCAGGCTAAAAACTCTTGTCTGACTTTGGCCCTCCGCTTATAGATCTAGTCTACATGTAAATCAAATTTAATTAATTGCCAAACAAAATCAAATCAAGAAAGAAAGATACTTTGTTTTCCAAGAGTAAGATTTGTGTTGCCTACAAATTGGGTGACAGTCTCCCCTTTAGTGTTTGCAACTAGTCAACACTGACAATGTATAACGTTGTTGTTGTTTTAGTTTTAAGGGCGTGTGTCATTCAATTATGAATATTTAAGCCTTTTTTATAGCCTTTTTATAGGATACCATTTACCTTTATTTACATTTGCTGCATCATGTGCAAACAAAGGGTTTACCTCGGCTCAAAATAAAAGTATGAGCAGATTTCTCATGCAAAATCACACCTTTTGAGTTTGACCGTCTAGCCTACTAAATACTTTAAAGATAAACTCCAGTACTGGTAAAAAAATAAAAATTAATTCTCACAGAATCAAACGAAACTTACACTGAATGTTCAAGATTACAAATAAATGACATGTGCCAAACAATTTTGGAAGAAAATGTATACTGGCTGAGTAATGAGCATAGAAAGACAAGGAAATCAAGGTAGTACTAGCCCCGACACCATGTGTGTTGTCCCATATATAGCTTCCCATAGGAAAGTAAAACGTATGCCGCAGACCTGCCGCAGACCTGCCGCAGATCTGCCGCAGACCTGCCGCAGACTTTTAGTCTGCTGCAAAGAGTATGCCGAAGTATGCGGCAGAAAGAAATTTTGCTGCAGACTTGCCGCATACCAGTATGCCACAGGAACAGTCTGCGGCAGATCTGCGGCAGGATGAAATTTTGCTGCAGACTTGCCGCATACTAGTATGCCACAGGAACAGTCTGCGGCAGATCTGCGGCAGGATGAAATTTTGCTGCAGACTTGCCGCATACTAGTATGCCACAGGAACAGTCTGCGGCAGATCTGCGGCAGGATGAAACTTTGCTCCAGACTTGCCACATACTAGTATGCCACAGGAACAATCTGCGGCAGATCTGCGGCAGGATGAAATTTTGCTGCAGACTTGCCGCATACTAGTATGCCACAGGAACAGTCTGCGGCAGATCTGCGGCAGGATGAAACTTTGCTCCAGACTTGCCGCATACCAGTACGCCACAGGAACAGTCTGCGGCAGGTCTGCCACAGGAAATCCCATTAAAGTCTAATAGGGCCAATTGAAACCAATCATCTCATGCATATTCATTATTACTTTACACGTGTGACAGAAAAATACATTTATCATGATTTGTTAAGCAAATTAAGACAATGCACATCATTTTTGTGATTTCTATTTTTCTTTTGTCATTATTAACCAATAGATTATTCTGTCTGATCATGTTACAATTACATTCACGTTTAAGCAATAGATATATTGATTACTAACCAAGAAACTATGATTACTAACCAAGAAACAATATACATATTTAGTATATACATGTATATGTGTACGAGCCTGTGTCACTTTAAATGTTACTCTTGAATACACATCAAATGATCAATGTGATGAAGTTAATACAATTGAGAATAGAATATACCTAATTGGTAATATCGATATATATTGGTATTACCTAATTGGTAATGTCGATATTGCCAATATCGATTATGAAGTATCAAACAGTTTATCACTGGTTCTTCTACATGCATACTTTATTGCCACGTACTGGATATGAAAGAGTATGCGGCAGGTCTGCAGCAGGTCTATATGAGATATGAATATTCATGACGAAGAGTCTGCGGCAGGTCTGCAGCAAGTCTGCGGCAGACCTGCCGCAGACTCTTCATCATACTGAAAGAGTACGCGGCAAGTCTGCAGCAAGTCTGCGGCAGACCTGCCGCAGACTCTTCATCATACTGAAAGAGTATGCGGCAAGTCTGCGGCAGACCTGCCGCAGACTCTTCATCATACTGAAAGAGTATGCGGCAGGTCTGCAGCAAGTCTGCGGCAGACCTGCCGCAGGCTCTTCATCATACTGAAAGAGTATGCGGCAAGTCTGCGGCAAGTCTGCGGCAAAACTAATTTGCATGTGAAAAAGATGACTGTCGATCTGCGGCAGGTCTGCTGCAGATCTGCGGCAAGTCTGCCGCAGGAGTATGCGGCAGGCTCATTTCTTTCCTATGGGTTTCTATGTGAGTGCTTGTTACTTTACCAAGACTCGGTCAAATTTATTATGATTTTGATGACTCCAGAACCTTGCAGTGCACACCAATATACTTACATGCTACATGATCAACTGTTTCTGATCCTTTCCACACCTTTTCTTTCACAATGCAATCGCATTACCAGTACTAAAGTTTATCTTTAATTTCACTGTCTATAATTACTTTTATGTCAATAACATAGTTTTTCATGATCAGTCACATCACTTCGTTTAATTTGTGGAAACTACCAGCATGATGCCAGTGTAACATGCATGCGAGAACAACTTAATCTCCCAACTCTTAAAGAAAGAAGAAAACGGGCACGATTGTGACAGTACAAGATAGCAAATATTGAAATAACAAAAAGTCAAAATTGCGATACAATACCGGATTACATCAAACCGAGGGAGCGAACTACAAGGAGGAATCAACAACAACAATATAGTCTAGATCAAGTATGAGACTAGGCTCTTAAATGGACACTTACAAATTTAGTTAGTGTCTATTTCGATCCCCAGGACTTTAAGTTACCTAAGTTAAGGACTGGGACTAACTAGTAACTACCTCAAATGATCAATACCGGATTACATCAAACCGAGGAAGCGAACTACTACAAGGAGGAATCAACAACAACAATATGGTCTAGATCTAGTAGTATGAGACTAGGCTCTTCAATGGACACTTACAAATTTAGTTAGGGTCTATTTCGATCCCCAGGACTTTAAGTTACCTAAGTTAAGGACTGGGACTTACTAGACCTACTACTACTAGTAACTTCCTCAAAATCGTCAAACTGCCTTCTCTAGAGCAGCTAGCAGTTCATCAAGGTGGCTCTTGAAACAATTTAGTTCCCTTTTCAGGAACTGTACCGCATAGATCTACATTGTAGAGCTGTATATAACAACTCTATGCTTTGCTTTACCCTCATCTAATACCCTCATATAGATGCTGAACAGGCGTTGATGAGTATTACCATTGAACTTGAAGTAGAAGATCGCATGATCACAGGGTCAGGGCCAGGTGGAGACCAGAGACCAACCTGTTCATAGCTAGCCCGACAGACAAGGGCGAAATTCTACAAGCAAACCACTACCATCGGATCGGCACACCAGTGCAGTTGCAGTGCAGTGTTGTCATGGCAAAATTTGATACGCGATAGGCCTTATCCGGTTCATTTGGAAACTTTGTGACACCAGAGAAAATTGAAATAAATATCAACTTAATTCAATACAAATGAAAACAATCTATGTCACGTTTCAAAGGGTTACTTACTTGGCAAAAATCAGATGTGACGATCGAAGACGTGACTCCGAGCCGAGTTGCGGTTGTCTGTGTCTGATCCCGGCCCGATTGCGATATAAAATGCAACGAAAACTGAATTGATCATAAGCATGCAGCAAATAGCCGGCCTGGCCTACTTCAAGCAACCGGAAATTTGTATACCGTACCCTGCAGCTAGCTCAGCTAGCGAGGGGATGGATAAATGCCACCTAGCGCCAAGGCACATGCACTTTTCTTTCCTCATAGAATATTCAAATTAATTATAAAAAAACACTTGAAGGAGAACAATCTATCTCTATATCTATATCTGGACTCTGAACTTGAAATATTTTTTGTAAGGATTGATGAATGGATCTGGAGAAAATTGTGCCACTGTGTCGCAATGCAATATGTATTTACTTAGACTCTAGCATAAAGTTTGGACAGCTGGTTATTTTATTTCAATGATAATAACAGAACTTTATTGCATATCACAGGGCTGTCTTAACCCTCTCGATTTGGAGGGAGTAGGCCTACTCACGCCACCACGCTCATTCTCCCGCCGCCAAAAGCTCGTAGCGGGTGACTCCCGCCACCACGCCTTTCTCCCGCTCTCCCGCCAACGATGTAGAATCTCCCGGTTTATGAAAAAACCTCCCACCCTCCAAAAAAAAAAATGTGCTCTTACTCCCCCCCCCCCCCCCCCCCCCCCGCTTATTCAGCGGCTGGCTGAGTCGTTGCGAAATTTTAAAAAAAAATCTCCCTCCATGCAAGCAGTTTCCCAAAGTTGACAGCCCTGTATCACTGATAGCTTCTTCCATGCATGACCTATTTCCTCCTCTTTATTGTGCCTTAAATTTTCTAGTTCTCTCTCTCTCTCTCTCTTCTCCATTTACCTCGCTTGATTCTCTCGGCTATTACCCCCGCTATTACCCTCACTACTCTTCTTCCCTTCTTTCTCTCCACCCCCCTCCCCCTAGCTCTTCTCTATAGCTAGGGCATACATGCATATCATGATACCCCATATTATCAACTCAATTGGGAGCTTAGTTGTATGGTCAAGATTACATCTGCTGTTAGGTGTAGCCAGGTGCATACGCAGGGGGGGGGGGGGGGGGGGATTTTGGATGAAACCCCCCCCCCTTTTAATCTTTTTTTTTTACCTAAAAAAGGTGTCCTCTAACCCCCCCCCCCCCCCCCCCTCCCCGGCTTATTCAGCGGCTGGCTGAGTTTTCGGCCCGATTTAAAATGTTAACCCCCCCCCCCCCCCCCCTTGAAAAAATCCTGCGTACGCGCTACTGGGTGTAGCACTGGAGATATCACTGTCCTCCCCAGTAATTTCTCTCTGCTATCTTTAATATCATTTAATTGGGCATAAATGCAAATCAATTGAATGTAGATATATCTTATCCTCAAGCATTGCAACAATCCTTTCAGGACAAGATATTTTGTTTTCATGCACGCTGGCTATAATCACATATTTTTCCTTTATTGCTACATTGTTAAAATATGATTTAATAATATATCTCTGAATACAATACACACGGACGAGGACGTTGTCGTAAAAGTTGAAACAAATTGCAAATTTTGATCGAAATGTTATTAAAATATCTCAATGTTTTGTCAATTTCAGGAATTTAAAGCTTATTCCTTTTAAACTTCATGCCATCAAAGGCAATTATAGTCATGAAACAAAAATAGATGCATGTGTGTGTAGAACGTTTGGTGCTTTCTACTCATACATCACACATGTTTTTAGGACTCCAAATCAAAAGATATTGAGGAAAAAACCCAAATGTGGAGTGACTGTAGCAAAAAAGTTAAAGATTACTCCTTGCTGGTAGTAAGCACCCAGTAAAAAGTCGCAGATGACAGTCAAAAGCAAGCTAAACAAAGATATGCAAATTGGTAAATTTTCTGTACAGTAGCATTTTAATACATACATATATCTATAAATTGTTATAATGTACATTTTTTACAATATCAGTTATTTCCAAATTTTCATTTCAATAATACACATCAATGCCTTTCAAAATTCCATCTTCTCTTTTCTGCTATTGTTCTGACGAAATACAACAAGAACATACAATTTCTTTAAAGAATGGAGCACAATCTCAATATCTGTTTTGATGATTGACATTTTTGGGGTATGTGCGCTATTGCAAATAAAAACTTATTCTCAAATGAAACTTTTAACTTTCATACAGTAATATCAATCTAGAAAAGACAAAAATGTCAAGTATATCAACAAATTATTATTAAGTGTAAAATCAGTAGGACATTGATGAATTGATGTTCATGTATGTTCATCTTATCATTATATAAATATTGAATGCTCCAGAGTTCATTTATGAACTGACAAATTCATAATCCTGACCCCCCCCCCCCCCCCCTCCCACCTTCAATCAAGAGCAAAACACGTTTTGGTGATTGCTACACTTAAAGCCATTGGACCAACTGTATATACACAATTTGTATATTACTTCAGAGATATCACAAATATTTCTGTACTTATTTTTCCTAATCATCTGGGGGAGGGGGGGGGGAGGGGGGGGGGGGGGGGGGGGGGGGGGGGGGGGGGGGGGGGGGGGAGGGGGGAGGGGGGGGAGGGGGGGGGGAGGGAGGGAGGAAGGGCAGTACCCCTTGCCTAAGCGAATGAGGGGGAGGGTGGGGCTTGTCAGAGACTCTGGATCCACCACTGAGCTTGGCAGAAGTTTTTTAACATGGACACGACTGAGAGAAGCATGCCATCTCAATGACTCATTGTAAAGACCACCTGTCGAGAAAGACCCTGTCCATTCTTTCACTTGAAAAAGGCTATTCATTTCCTGGAAACAGGGTTTTATTCTATAGATGCAAAGGACTGTCTTGTAGAGTTTGTGGCAGTGCTCGAGTCAAGACCTGAGACCTTGCAATGAGAAGAGTGACAGTCAGCCAATCTAATCCTCTTCATACAGATAATCTTTATATTCACAACTGCAGTTTGTACTAATCCATTTCGCATAGACAGTATGAAGTTCTTTTCATATAGCAAAGTGTGATGCCCTATTCACATTGCAAGGTTACATTAGAGTTCCGGAGCCGCTTTACAGTGGAAATGGAAAGCACCGAAACAGACTTGCTTTGTTTGTATACTGTAAACTGCCCATCCCCTTCCATCCTTACAGTATAGTGTCATCTTCACATCGATAGTCTGAAGTCCTTTTCATAAAGAGAATTTTAAGTTCCATTCACAATGAAAGTGTGATGTCCAATTCACATTGAAAGTTTAAATTTGAGTCCCGGAGCTGCTTTACAGTGGAAAGCACCGAACCAGATTTGCTTGTCCGTATCTGTAAACTGCCCATCGCCTTCCATCCTACACAATCGACAAGAAAACAAACAGGATGGATGAGTGAAAAAATGTTATTCAATTGCTCTGTTTTCTTTAAAAATTAATTAAAATTTTAATAAGATTCAAACGAAACTATAGTTTGATTTAAGGACAGTCCTCTATACCAATGCTAGCAGGGGGAAGTGTGGTTAAGGTAAGAATAATATTGAAACAGATCCATGGCAGATTTAATTGAATAACAAATTGATGAAAGAGCGATTAAGATTCTTGAAATGATCAACTATGTGAAATATGTATGAAACGTTGTTGTTGAATGCAAAATGTGTACAAAGCAAAGTTTCACTCACTTTTTTTGTTGCTAAAATGACACTAAGTAAATGAAACTAGGAATTGGCATGATGCACAATTTGTTCAAATTAAAAAAGGATTCAGCAATTTCATTTTAGGAGCATGAGCTAAAAGTTATTCCCATTGTTTAACGGAATAGGGTGACATATTTCAGTTATCTGGAGAGTTTCAAACAGAAAATCTGAAGTAATTTACAAATTTTGCAAATACAGCTTCATACCAGTTACATAACAGCTACTCACTTATTTTCTGTGAAGCTACCATCAAAAATAGCGTTGTTGGCGAATATGTATCTTCCCTTGCCGTGAAACTGATTATCGACAAACTCTCCTTCGTACACACTTCCATCTGGTTGTGTCAGTTTTCCTGGTCCGTTCATCTTATCACCAGCCCACTGTCCGTCATAGCAAAGCCCCTCAGGTGTGACATGTTGTCCTTGGCCATTACGCTCTATGGCCCCATCATCTGTCTTCACATAATCTCCCTCTATAGATGTCATTCAAAGAAATCAAGAGTATAGAAAAAATAACAATAAAAAGAAAAACAATGTCAATATCAAGAAATGATAATAAATCATAATAATAAACAACTAAATTAATACATTAATCAATATTCATTTTGTTGTTGTCTTTCCAGGCAGTGTGATAGACAATTTATCATCTCACTCTATTCACTTGTTAAAATACAAGCAAATATTGCTATATAAAATGCAACTTTCAAGGGCACTTTTCTTTTTGAACAAAGTACTTAAAAGAGAGGTTACAGTAGATAAAATAAGTCCGCTATGGTTTCACACCCTTGATATTCTACATCCCCCCCCCCCCCCCCCCCCTTGAAGTTAGACCTGGAAGCTTGGCAGCTGGAGACGGCTTTCTTCCAGAAGCTTTGGTATTCAAGGTATTATTCAAGGCCGACTCGCATATTTGTGTATAAAGTTAGATACTTGGGCATATATATGGAGAAAGGAAATAGACCCAGATCTAGGTCTACATTATGATTATTACTGACCATATCTGTCTCCATTTGGAAAGACAAAAACACCTCTGAGAAGAGGCGCCTTTTCCTCTTCCTTGACCTCTCCTTTCCTTCCTCCTCCTTTGGCTAAAGAACAAGATGAAATAGAAGATGGAAGAAAAAAATCAATCATCAATTAGAACAAAGAGTAAGATCTAGGGTCTAAGTTAAGAATAAGATAAAAATTAAGATTAGGCCTATGCCTAGTATCTAGACTAGGTCTAGATTCTAGATCTACTTCACTTCACTTTACACTCAAGTCAAGAGAAAGGCTCAAGACAGTTTTTACCAGAGTCAGACTCAGAGTCAGAGATCGATGACACAATTTTATTTGTCATCCTTTCACCTTTAATTTTATTTCTTTTTAAAATTCACTTGACTCTTGAGACTTGAGTTGAACAAAACTAAGTTAAAATTAGACTCTAACTTATTGTTTTTGTTGGATAGATCTAGATCTAGACCTAATATGAATGGTCTCTAAATGTCTGGATTTATATTTGCCTGAGCTGCGCCATGGGTATGGCTCCTGGCCTCACCCAGGCCAGGCCAGCCCAGGCCCAGCTAGCCCATATTAGCCCATCGAACTTTAGACGTGTTGCCAAGCATTATAACCGGCAGTCCTCCAGCGGAAAGGCCCCAACCGGACCGGGCAGGCTGAGGCGCCAAGCACTGGTGACGGTTCTCGGACTCCTCTGCACAGCAGACAAAACACAAAAGCAAAATGCAAAGCTGGGTCTATTTTTATTCAAAAACCAACCAACTGAATAAAATTCATGCTACTGGAGTCATATTCACGTACCTGGCATTTTTGTCGATTCTAATTTTCCTTGTAGCAAATTTCGAATTGTTTTTACTCCGGTGCCGATTATCACGATTTCTGGTTTTTATTTTGGTAACCCAGCTATACTAGATACGGACGTAGATGGCGTCGATCTAATACCATTTTTTCCTTCTCGAAGACAAAAAATAGATAAATGAAAATTAGGTCAAGAGTGTTTTCCGAGAACATCCCTGCAATATATATGCACTTTGAAGAGCACTTTTTGTATCTATACATAGTTTATTAATGTTCACTGAAGCCAAATAACCCCCTCCCTGACCCTGTCCTCAAATCTCATGCTACAAAATACATATTAGTATTACAGGCACTCATAATGTTATATGATTTTTTTTTAAATTAATTTATTAATTTATTTATTTATCTTCTTTTTGTTGGGGGGGGGGGGGGTTCTTATAGCCGTGTCCGCACGCTATACATAAATAAAGCAAGAAGTGTGTGCATCTAACAACACTCAGCATCATAACTGTTTGTCCTTTATTATTGTATAATACTATTCTTAAAAGATTTCTGAAATATTGCATGGAAACTTCTTCAATTACTTTTTAAAACCAACTGTACGGACACCCAACATCTTGGTATACCTCCAGGCTCCATTTCCATTGGGGTAGAAACCGGGGGAGGGGCTGGTGGGATATCCTCCCACAATTTTAATGGCTATAAACCCCTTATTTTGTAGATTTATAAAATTCTTGATATCAGATCAATTTCTTTAGATTTTTTTAAAAGGATCTTAATCACTTATTATCCATGATATATTTTGAGTAGTGCCCCAAGTGCATGAGAAGGCACTTAAAGAAAAAGAGAAATTCATTATATTTTCTACACAACAAATAGGACAGTGTCCCTGCAGTGGTCACAATCCACTGTCCAAATTCGCACGGATTTAGTGATCTCACATTTCAAACATTCATATAATTACCTTAATTATTATTTACAGGATTCAGTATTTCAAACTTTCATCATAACTCTCTGTCTCTTATTTTTCTGCTCCCGTATGCATACCAATGAAGTATATTACAAGGGTAATTGGGTTGCCCTTTAAGAGTATGTTCTGTTTATGATCGATGACAGGAAGATCATTCAAAGTCTACAAAAAGCTTTTCAGTACAATAGATGGGAAATTAAGTATCAACAAACAATTATGCACACGCTAGTGTGTGTATAATAAATTACTGTGTATTTATGTTCAAGATAGCCAACGTATTTCCTGTAGAAATAACTTCCTTATTTTTGGTCGGAATTCATTTCAAACTTTTGCCATTCTGTTTTTGTTATTTTTTTGCTTTCATCTTACAAATCAACTTATTACAAGGGGTGGATTGCCCTTTCAAATCTAATCGTTAAACTCAACTTTTGAAGAAAGTCATTGGTCAATAAGTGTTTCTTCAAATTGTATCATGACAAGGGTGCTCTTTCCACATGTTTGGATTAAAGTCCTGTGGTTTTCAATGATTTTGTCATATTGATCATGAAACTAGCTTTGTATTCAGTGAAATGTTTGAAGATTAAAGATGTTTGGTAACAGAAGTACAATTTTAGGTTTCTTCTAGTAAAACTAGAACCATGACAAGTGTTGAGGGGTGCAATAATGCACATTGCACATGTTTGGAATAAGAAGAAATAATCGAAAAGAATTTGGTCATTGTGATAATGAACTGGTCTGACTCTGAACTCTGGAGTCAAAACTAGGATTGCAGGTGTTTAGATGGGAATAGGAGTAAATGTTATTGAAATAACAAGCATTAGACACAGTTTGTTCAAACAAAGTATCAGATTTTATTGAGCAATTAAATCACAATCAATGTAAGGAAACATATTTACAAACATGAATGGTGAGAGCATTTGACAAAACTGACAATTCAATTCAATTCAATTCAATTTAAATATAATATAGGCATAATATGTTTACATAGCGATGCTAAACTAAACCTTACCCAAAGCCTAATTGCAATCCCAACCTTAAACCTTTGACAAAATAAAGCCCTAAACAATTATTGTCACAGGAGCAATTGTCATGTCACCATAGACATAGACTGGAGAGATGATCACAAGACCACATCAAAACTTGTTTTCTCTACCTCACATCAACAGACTGAATATTATTTTGTAAATAAATGTATATACCAAAAAATAGTAAATAGATGGTGATTGCTGGTGTCTGAAAATAGTGGAGATGGTGAATATAACTAAGTGAACATAAAGAATTCTATGGATTGACAAGAGTATTTTGAATTCAATTGTCATCATTAACAGTCTGAAACAATTTTTAATCAAATTATCATCAACTAAGTTTTCCTCACGAGTCACAAGAAATACTACTAATTAAATTTATACATGCTTGATTGCTTTTGTGTCTTTCTGACTTTTTTATTATCACTCTACAGAAGAACAAAATATCTTTCTCTTTTAACCTTTCTCTGCTCGACTTCCATTACAACAATACATTACATCAATTTTGATTATCGGTTTAAATTGTAATCTATTGCCTCTTCATTTTATTTTAAACCTCTCTACTCTACAAAAATATTCACTTTTATTATATATACATTTTCAATTCAATTTTTCAATTACATTTATTTTTACTTTAAAAACAATTTACAAATCAATAACAAATACATAAGAATAATGGTGGCGGGATCATGAAAAGCACTAATTGGCTTATTAAAAATGACCCCTTATACAAGTATACACATTACATATGATACAGTGTAAGAGAAAATATAATAAAACTAATTATAATATGTTTGGAACTAAAATCAAAATTACAATGGATTTAGACGGGGACACACTTCTTACTATTCTTGAGATTAGTTGTCAGAGACATAAGTATCACAACTTGCAAATATAATCTACAACTACAAGCAGGATTTAAGTTGACAAAAGGATAACAATCTATCAAAATTGTATCAGCACTCTGCTTTCATTGATTCAATTTTTGAAATATCATATTGGCATCCTACATGCTGGTATGATAACCGATATATTAACTCATAAAAGATTGCCCTCAAAGTGCTTTTACCAATTAATTGTAAAGCTAAAATAATTCTCTGGATCACAACTTTTCCTATGTTTCAAAAGATAACTTAGAACAATTCAACTGATGTATATCTTTAGTATTATGAATAGTAATAGAAAATATATATATACTATTAATAATAAATATACAAATTAAAAGTGACCTGTGATGTCATTATTACTTTATAAAACTTATCTTACCATCTAATTTGCACTGCTTTCTACTGGCCCTAGTATGGTATACCAACATATTTTATTTTATAACCGATATATTTCTATTAAACTATAAATAACTATTGCAATTACAGTATTAATTAACATCAAATACTAACATTACTAATTGCTAGTGAAACACACAGTGAAATAATATGTGTAATTTTACACGTAGTGCTTTTTGTCTTGAACCTACATACTTGCACTTATATATTAGGTGCATACTTTCAAGACAAAAGCATTTAAAATAGACATTTCTAAGGATTTCACTAGTTCTCTACTCTCACTTGAAAAAATATGATTAACAAATTACACACAACTGCATTTACCATATAAACATCATACAATTTAATAGAGTGCATACAGAATGTTTTTGGATAGTGCTAATTCTGACCGGCAGTAGAACAGTGAATTTAAAGTTGCTGAAGGACAAGCCAATGCCGAAAAAAATTATAATAAAATGAAGAAAATAGAGACATGACATATAAATTACCTAATATTACATGATTGAAATTTGTGCCCAGATTTTAGAAACTAAATTTTTTGGGGAAATTGTCCGATTCTCATACTTTTGTGAATTTGTCCTATTTAGCATGAATTACAAAATACACTCTTAAAACTTTTTTATCAAAAATACATATTAAGCAAATTCTTGAATTTTAGAAAGTGCAGGACAGACCGAATAGGAAACAGTTTCTGAATTATGTATACAATACCTTGGACCCACTGGAGAGTTTTTAATACATTTCCTCATAGCTAGGTTACAATGCATTTACCATGCATTAACCATCTCATTTACCATGTGTGAATTCACCCAAGCTGTATTAAGAATGGCTGAAAACCTGAGCATTCTCTGGCTATTACGCCATGACAAAGGGCAGCTACTAACAAGGTGTACAAACTCAGTCATGATAGCAAAACGATTATGTTTCAAACCACCTGGCAGTATAACTTATAAACGCCTGCTTTCTAGAACAAGCATCTACAACAGTATATTATTTTACAACAACATCAATAACAAAAATCAGACTACCAAAAGGGTATTCTAGTCTTCCAGGTACTATGTATTCACACACAACACTATTTTATAAAAATAGGCAATTTACATTTCAACAAACTTAAATGCAATTAACTATTTTACAGAAAAATTTTGCACGAAAACTTAATGCAGTTTAATATCCAGAGAAAGGGGAGAATGAAGGTTCTAATAACAGGCAAATGTCATCTTTAGCTTAGTCAACCATTTATTACACATGCTGAAAAGGGATTACTAAAATGTAATCGTATGCTCTGATTTATTTATTACAATACAGTGCTATTACCAATCAAACTTGAACCAAAATCAATTAACTCAGTCTCTTTCTGACGTTAGATTAAACCTTTTAGTACAACACACGTACATGTATTAAATTAAGGCACAAAGTCTAACAATTTTTTTATTGCAATCATTCAACAGTCCAGAACGTTTAGCAATTCCTTTTTCTCCTTCTATATTTGGGATCGAGATGGATTTCACAAATGGAACAATTAACTAATGATTAGTCTATAATCTATTAACTTTATCAGCAATGCCAAAAGACGATTCACAAATCTAAAATCGAACATAAATGTCTATAGCAAGGATAAGGAGACGAGTTTTCCTTGCTTGTTGTGTTCCTTATACATGATTGTTAGAATTTAATACAGTAAAACATGTTTATAAAGACCACCCCAGGGAGACAAAGTGGCCTTTATAAGCAGGTTCCTTTAGTACATGTATATAACACTGTTTATAATGTCTCTGTACCACATTGTACACAAATTATCATTTTCAGTGTCTTCTTTTTTCTATGTAGTTTTGCAGATTGTGTATACTGTACGATCTGGTGTTTCGTCAGTTCAATTCAATTAATTTAGTTTAATCAAAATTGATATCAGAGGAAATTTCTGGGAATAGAGGGTAGATTTGGGCTACTAAACCATCAAACCCTGGTCAAAATAAAATATTCAGAGAATAAGATCACTTGAAATGATATACATGTACATTCTTATACTTCTCTTCAAATACTAGCTCTGGTAACATGGCACTCTAATAACTGGACAACCTGAAGAAAATGGATTGCACGTTGCTATTTAAGGGCAGCACAAACATGTAGATTAAACCAGGTTACTTACAAAAATATGAGAATCATGACTGTGAGAGATATCATCAAGAAATGATGAGTTAACACTGTAGGTGTCTGTCAGACATGATCATTATCACTGTCAATCATCATTGTCACCCTCTACAGTTAGCTCTGCTTGCCAATCCTGTTAAAAGTCTTGGAGATGTGTTGTGGGGTTTGGGTGGGGCTGTCCCTATAATTGTCATCATCAACACTATCATTAATCTCTGGTAGTAGCTTCTGATGATGGCTGTATCTGAGATGCGTTGTCAGATGCGATGGGGATGTCTGTATCATCATCATTATCATCATCATTCTCCTCCTCTGCAGTTATCTCTGGTTGCCACTCCTGCTTAAAGCCTTGGAGATGTGTTGGCAGATGCGGTAAGGGGTTGTCTGTATCATCATCATCATCATCATCACCATCATCATCATCATCTTCCTCATCTTCATCATCTTCCTCATCTTCATCATCCTCATCCTCATCATCATCATCATCATCATCATCATCATCATCATCATCACCATCATCATCATCATCACAATCAACATCTATTGTTGCCTTAGAGATGCGTTGTCAGATGCGGTAAGGGGTTGTCTGTCTCCTCATCATTCTCCCCCTCTGCAGAGGAGAGGACCTAAAGCCATCGGCCGTCTGCTCGCTTACTTAGAAGTCAGGGTAATAACTACCATTAAAGTTTTTGACAACGAATGGCTGGGCTATATGGGGTTGATAGGAGGTGGTCTCGATATGGATCTCGTCTCCGTGGGTCATGTCGTAGCGACTCATCGGAAGCAAGTCCTGATTAAGCAGGTTCAGCTCGGTCTCTCCCGCATTGGGGCTCTTGGATAGATGGTACATGCGTAGCATCCTAGACAAGATGATATGGGAATGTGTGTCAACGGATAATTGAAGGTAACATAGGGTTCCGATAAGTTATAAAACAAGGCACTGCAATTTTTTGTTGTTACCACTTTATTTCTTAAAGTGAAATTTCTCAAGTAATAATTTTTCTGTAGGAAAAAAAAAAGTGCATTAACTAAGCAAAAATAATTAAGATGTTAGAAACAATTATTGAAAGTTTTCTAATGATCATATTTATATATTAATGTCTCAAATCATAAAAACTGCGTTCTTTTTATTTTTGTTTTCTTTTCCAATTGGCAAACATGCCCAGATGGACAAACATAACCATACTTCACTACAAATAAAAAATGTAACACATAACTCACTGTTGTATGATTTAATTATTCTGGGTTTCCTTGCTCATTACTATTCTTAATCAAGGTTATCACTATAACCATCTCCCCACCCGAAATAAAGTATTTTATTTTAGTTATTATATGCTTAATTGAAGGCTACTTCAACAAATTAAAAACTCAATTTTTTTTCAAGCGCTGCAAGGCTCTGGGGTTGTAAGACCACTAAAAAAAATGTACCCATATAGAAAGTACATCTATAAAAACATTGCATACCTAACCGGTGCTTTCTTTCTCTGATTAAATGAACAGGTTCACCAGTCCACTTCGCACACTATGTAAAGAGTTACTTTCACTCACTCACACCTAAGGTAAAACTATCTGATATAGGCTTACCTCTGTGGTTTGTCAACCAGTTTTGCACAGTACTTTCTGAGTTCTGAAACGTTCTGAACAACGTGGATGGTCGCCTGGTGGATGCACTTGCCGCTGTAAACAAAAGACAGCTGCGCATGTACCTGAAATCCTCTGCCAATATCGATCTCAGTCATGGGCTTCAGGTTACCTGGAAAAGGTCAAAGGGCAAAGGGCATTGTTGGAGGTTAAAGGGGACCAGTCAACTATGTAACAATATAACTAGTGTATTCATAGCAAAATAAACAACCCTTCTGCACCCCTCAGTTTAATAAAAAAAGGGATAAATAATCAACCTGCATTCTATGGGTGACTGAGTGTTAAAGAATTAAAAATAATAATATTATTCCGCTTTTATATATTGCTTAATACAACGTCTCTAAGCGCTTTACAGACATACTGTGAAGAAAAAAAGGATAACATAAAGACTCAGTGCACCAAACTAATCAAATTTCTCTAACGATAACTGCTCCTAGTTTCATTTTAAAAAGATATAGGGTTAGGGTTGCAATGAGATTTTAGGTTAGGGTACGGGTTAAGGTTAGGGTTAGGCATCACATTTTTTAATTCGCTTAGTGGTAACTGAGAGAAGTCATAGCTAAAGCATGTGTGTCATACCTGTGATTTATTGTTGCTGCTGCTTCCTTGACTTTATTTTTGGACTTACTCTATGACAATTGGGACTCCCTTTTGTTGATGTATTTTGTCTCTTTACCAGAGCTAATTCAGAGCTTTTGAGAGCTAAATCACTCAATGCTCCCATGCATTTTTTTCTCCTTCAGTGTGACATTCAATCATCAACTGAAGCTCACCATGTCTCTGCACCAGATCTTCAATCCATGGTGGAGGCTCGGGATGCTCGTCAAAGTGACGGATGAAAAACCGCTCGCTCTTCTCTCGCTCCTCTTCCTTTATCTCACTTCCATTGAGCATCTTGATGTTGGGCAGGCTGTCAACAAAAAAAAAGTAAAAATTAACATCCAAATTATAATGTAAAATCAGAGGACTACTGAGCCCTGTCTTACAAAGAGTTGATATCAATCGCAAGTTTGTGATTGATATCAATCCTAGCCTATAATCTAGGCGGAGTGCCGAGCTTTTTTCTTTGCTGCTAGACTAACCCTAAGCAGAACGTCTGATACGGCGAGACTACGAACCGTGAGCCGCGCACCGCCTATAATCACTGGTCTAGCTTTAGTCGTTGTTTTTTTTTATTATCGACCATGAATCCGTGGTAGTTTTTCGTACGAAAAAACCTCATGATTCATGGTCGATAATAAAAAAAACAATGACTAAAGCTAGACCAGTGATTATAGGCGGTGAGCCGCTTCGCGACTCACGGTTCGTAGTCTCGTCGTATCAGACGTTCTGCTTAGGGTTAGTCTAGCAGCAAAGAAAAAAGCTCGGCACTCCGCCTAGATTATAGGCTATATCAATCCCAGCTATGTACATAAGAGATAGGAGACTGCAAACTTGCGATTGATTTGGATCAATTGTAACTCTTTGTAAGACAGGACCCTGGACTCCCATACGAATACTGCCATTTCCCCCTTATAGCTCACGATCCCCTAACAACAACAAGACACTTTTGGGGATATTTTAAATCATGAATCTAAAAACAGTCCCCAGAGGGAAAACAAAAATATTGAAGAGAATATACCGTCGGCCTGCAGGCAGAAGGGCGTTAGCACGCGAGCGACTCAAAAACTACGTACTTTTCAAATTATTCGCATTTAAAGATTTGTTTTAAACTTAAACTGCTTTCCATCCCAAAAATTGGTTTAAAACTTAAGAGACTAATAGAAATGTTATAGTAAAACACAGCCACAATTTTTTTGTGGAAATAAGTCAGTTTTATAAAAGTTTGAGGCGATTTAGCGCTAACGCCCATCTGATTAATGCTTCATTTTTTACCTGAAATTTGAGCTAACACCCTTCTGCCAGCCAGGCGACGATACATCATAAATATGCTCTAACAATACAATTCTTGGTATATTCCAGGAAACTTAAAACATCACACATTTAAGCCTGATGTGTTCATTTGTAGGGGATTCACAATAGCAAGATACTCAATGTCTTCCATTTTTTATTTTTGCATGGATTTGCTTCAAGGGTAGAGCATTGATTATCCGTCTCTGTCAATTTCTCTTTGTTATGATGACAAATTATTGCTACCATCAAGAGGACTAAAGGAGGGACTCCTTTATCGATATGAAATAGTCCTTGATACACTCACCTAGCAACCAGCAGCTTCCTCTTTTCATCTATGGCGAGATTCTCCAGGAAAGGCATTCCCTATTGAGAAAGGGAGGAATACATTCAGACGATAAAACACTTGCCTCATCAAACCCAAGGGAGTCCTGCCTATATTGTTTACAATTTTACTGTACTACAAGAGAAACTGTTTACCCTGAATTTGTTTTTGAGTAGTTGAATATGTCGTGAATAAGATTGTTAATTACAATGGAATTAATGAGACCGGCAAAAATTGAATGAGATGACAAAACCTGTCGACAACACAGATATTGAAAATCATCAACACAATTAAGGGCACATGGATAAAATATTGACTGACATCAGTCTCATAATTCCTGTCCTGTTATTCCAGGGGATGAAAATCAACTTCCTCAATAAGGACATCATAGGTTTGAAGTTGACAAGAAGGTTTGGACGGGTACTGCTACGCAAAAAGCAGAATGTAATGAACAAGCAGACATGGTCTACATTTAAAGGTAAAGACCAGTTATGGTAATGCGATTGCATTGTGAAAGAAACGTTGTGGAATCGATCAGAAAAGGTTAATCATCTAGCATCTAGCATCTGCAAGGTTCTGGAATCATCAAAATGATAAGAAATTTGGCCCATTCTTCGTAAAGTTACAAGCACTATACACAGAAAGATGTATATGGGACTACCCTATATCTCTCACAGACCATGAGAGAAACAAATTTACCAAATATATGAATTAGTAGGCGGTTTCCCGGCAAATTTTGTATCATCATGTATTAGTCAAAACATATTCTTTCACATGATTGGTAGTGAGAGCTTCCATTTCATTTTTTGAAATTGGGGCATTTCCAATACTGGTCTTTACCTTTAAATAATGCACTGCAGATGCAAGAAATCTAGAGTATTTCGGATAATGTTATAATTTAAATTTTAAAAGCCCCTTGAACACTAAAACAGCAAAATGTAGACCTGCTACATGTGCTGTCGTAAACATACAGCTCACCTTAACCCGAAGCGATTCCAAACACGGGAATGCCCTGATAGACTCCACATCAGACCACTTCTCCACCTTGGTATTAGTCACACACAGTACTTTCAGGCTGGGAAACTGTGTGAACGGACATACAGGAGGCGTTTCCTTCTCAATCTCCTTCTCTTCCTCCTCCTCCTCCTCCCTCTCCTCCTCTTCATGGCCGATGGCTTCATCGGGATCCCAAGCAACCTCAAAGTAGGCAAACTTATCGGTGTTGATATCAACAAGCACTTCGTCATTACGCGCATCGCTCTCTGGGACAGTACTGGACGCGTTCATAGGCTTACTTTCTGAGAGTTTCCTCCTCTTGTCTTCTGATTTGGGGGAAGACAGTGGGACCGGTTTAGCACCGTGTTCACTGATACCTGGTAGCACTTGATGGACGGTCTTCTCTGGAAGGGGTGGATTGTCTTGTCTAATCGCTCCATAACCACAGGGATCACTGTCCTCGGAACCCTGGCTGGAGAGTCGTTCCTTGGGAACGCGTCTTGGGGTGTTCGGCTGGTAGTCCTCCATGCCGCTGTCGTAGGACGGATCGGAGACCCTGTGGCTAGGACTGCGGGATGGGTCGGCTTCTAGGCTGTTCTGGTTGGACATGGTGGAGGCATCTTCAATGAGTTTGTCCAGGATTTCAGTCACAACATCACTGATGTCTGGGCCAGCAGGTTGATTATCTGAACACACATCCATTTTATTATTTACATCCTGTACAAAATTCACCAGAATAACAAAATAAAATAATTAATGGTATGATTGACCAGAATTAATATGTACTAACATTTTTCCTATATCAGATTTGCTACATCATTCTGAATTCTACCAAGTTCTTTCCATGACATGGTACCATCATGAAGTTTTTACAAATAGGCACCAACCCCAGCCCCCCCACTCAGTGTTATTTAGGGTACGCATATGCTCGTACCCTCTTTTTGAAAGCACCCCCTATCTGAGGACTGCCAACATTTCCGAACCCCCCTTTCGCGGGCTTTTTGCGGGCTTTTCCTGCCTTGGAGACCCCCCTAAATCAGGAAAAATGCTCAATGTACCCCCCTAAATTCGGAATAATTTCTCAGGAGTCCAAAGAGATGAGAGAAAAAATGAAAAACACCCCCTTTTTAAAGAAATCTCCGGGTGAAAAGTCAAATACACCCCTTTTTTTTAAATTCTCGGGCCGGACTTTGTCGCACGAAAAGTACCCCTTTACCGGACATTTTGGCAACACGCATGCGGTCATTCCGACCTCTGAGTGGGGGGGCCGGGGCACCAACATCAAATTACTACCGATATAGTACAGGAATTTCATCATTTATTAGCTTTCCCTTTTGACTGATTTGGAGTTCTGGACAGATATTGGCATATATGAGAATGACAGAATGACATTAAATTATAATTTGACATGCAGCAGGTTTTATAAGCACTTTATGTTCACATAAAGTTTTAAAGGTTTAACTTAAAGGGACAACAAAAATTTATTCTACTGATTGTTAAAGTACATAACAATGGTAAAATCACCATCCACAAAACTGATTTCAGAGTGAGAAAGCAAACTTGACACACTGGGAATAGTTTTCTTTTGATGGGTATGTAATTCCATAAATTAGGGACCCACTTTGTGACATTTTTGGTGTTCATTTACAAAAGGAACCCACACGTATTTGTGGCTCTGAGTAAAGACTTAAACAGTGGAATGAGATTGTAAAGTGATTTCCAAGCATAATATTGCATCCTCATACCTAGAATCACTTGACAATCTCACTCCACTATTTACGTCTTTACTCAAAGCCACAAATACGTGTGGGTTCCTTAAGTGGGAAACCAACAATGTCACAAAGTGGGTTCCTAATTTACGGAATTACCCGTATATATATAAATTTTTGAACCCTGAATTTATCAACCCAACTCACCTCCCCATCTCCATCCTCCTGGCTGGGCATGGTGATGACATAATGGATGTTGGACAGCGGATTCTCTGACAGCATCAAGGTATGAAGAGCAGGCAGTAGAGACAGCGGTACGACCTGCTCCCATCTGAGTGATACAGAATCATAAGAGGTTGTAGTGGTGGTGGTTATTTTACCTGACTGCTAAGAAAGCATTAATGCTTGTTAGTAAGCAACCAGAGGACCGACGGCTTAAGAGAGACCTGGTAATGAGAATTAATGCCTTACTAAAGGGCACTAGCGCATCGCCATGGTTTCGACCTGGGTCACCGGATTACGAGACCGCTGCTCTACCGACTGAGCTATTGCGCCTCCTGATCATGTGATCATCATGGCAGTTTATAGAAATGTGAGAAGAGACAAGTACACTCCCTCAAGTTTACCAACAGACAGTGGGAGGACTATTTCCTCTATGGGGTTCTGTTACACATGCTACAACGGCAATTGCAACATGGTCATCTTGTAACACTTATCATACGAATACCAGTTGGTTTCACCCAATAAGCCTGAGAGGAGACTCTCCCATGTTTGAGTCCCATACATTCGGTACAAAATAAAGCCTGAAAAAGGCTGAATTAGGAAGGTGTCAGGGCCTAAAAACTGGTATTCCTGTGATCAAAATTTTGCCTTCAAGTCTGGACCTAACATTGTACCGATACCAACCCCAACTTTAACCCAACGTCTAATTACAACTCTGACCCTGTATCTTTGACCCAAAATTATCCAGCACATATATCGCTGGAGCAAATATTGGATCATCCTTCCAGGAACCCTCTACAAGTCTCATTCTGTGTTATATGGGGTTTGTTTGAAGTTTTCCTCCAGAGAATAGAGTGTACAATACCACGATATATCAAGGTGTTTGTCCTCCGTAGAGGTCACTCACTGCATAGCTGGAAGTAAGCGACATTGCGAGAGGTGCTCTAGTCTAGAGAGTGTGATGGTCCTTACCTTGTAAAGTTATTATCTGTGAGATGGAGGACTTCTAACTTTCTGAAACATTCCCTGACACATTCTGCAGAAGCTGGGATGTCCAAATAGCCTGGTTAAAAAAAGAAAATCATATATTGAAGAAAACATCCCATGCATGCAGCCTACAAAAGGTGTGCTTGGATGAATGTATGTTTTAGACATTATATCAAGGAAAGGCTTAGAGTAATAAAACAATAACATCATGTTTTGTAGACATTTTCAGTTGTAAATGTCTTGCTATTTTGAAAATAAAGGCTTTAGGATCTATGTTACAAGACATGCTATTTTTTTTTTTGCCATTATGTTTCACAATGACATTTTAATGCACTCTATGGAGTAACCTTTAGAGCTAAATACAGAGACATCGGTGATCGAGTGCCCCCAATGATCACTTTCCCAGGTTTCACATCTGTCGGACTATATTCCTGGGGGGTGTTTCACAAAGATCCTAACTTGAATTATCACTAAGTTGGACTTAACAGTTATGGAAAGCATCTTTAGCAAATTTATTAAAAAAGGCATAAAATTTTGATTCAATTCATTCATATTTTCTATTATCAAGGACATTTTATGTTCTTGATGTGGAATTTATGAAAAGTGTAAAATACTTGAATTTTTTACTTTTGAATACTTTTTATTTTAAGGCTATAAATGGCTCTCCATATTGTTTAAGTCCAACTTAGAGTTGAGTTGGACTTAGGATCTTTGTGAAACACCCCCCTGGTAGTTTTCTGGTCTACTCACCATTCTGGCTGGCATGTAGCTCTCTCAACTGCGGAAGACAGCGGCATATCAGGAGGATGTCATCCCACGACACACCCGTATTGTTGAGCACCAAGTTTTCAATACCAAACTTGACCCCGGACAAGTTGGCCAAAGATTTCTGTAGCAGCATAACAAAAAGAGCAGATGGTGATCGATGAGAAGGGGTGAGAAAAAATGGGTACATGTTAAACAGTTTGAACTAAGCTATCCCTAGGACTACTGCACTCTGACTATCACATACTAAAAAATTACATATTACATATACAAGTCATAAGCCTTTCGACAGTCTTATTTAAAAAGACCCAATGGTATTCAAAGTTTAGATGATTTGGGAGGAAAGAACTAATGCCCCGTACACACCTTTGGATCTTGTAGCCTATTTCCACTAAGGTTCACAAACTGGAGCTTGTCCAGAGACCGGAGTATACACATGACCTCGTCCCAGCTGCCAATCTGATTTCTGGATAGATCCAGGTCCGTCACGTTTGGGCAGAGGGAGGTAAGACCTTCTGAGGGGATACCGGCGTGAGTGATGCCACTCATAGACAGGACCTGTTGACATTATAAGAAGTAAATTATGTCGTACTGAGTACGGTAAAGTAATTAACTGTAAAATTATTTCTGGTGCTTGGAGCTCAAACAAACTGTACACAAACTCATCCTAAATGTACCGGTATGCTCCTACCCTCCCCCCCCCCCCCCCCCCCCAAAAAAAAAAAAAAAAAAAAATTAAAAAAAAATAAATAAATAAATAAAATCACTAGTTTTTTTTCCTATAAAGTTTGTTGTTTGTTGTTGTTGCTTGTTTTGATTTGCAAACTGGGCCTGGCTCCAACAGCAACCATCGGAGCCTGGGTTATATTCTCTCATCAGGTTCAGCTGTCCCTAGATAACGTATGCATGTAGATTTTGCATTTGATTTGTAAATACCTAAAATTTGACTTGTACAGGTTAAATAGCTGATATCCATCAATTCTTTTAAATGTATGTTAAGATATTATCATTCATTAGAACTTTACATAAGATGCGAAAAAATATTAAGTTTATATCATATTATAAATGGAAAACATTGTTTTGCTGTAAAAACAGATTTTATTACGTCCTATCATCCTGTTTTATGCAAGCTTTTTTTGTTGTTGATATATTATGCATACATGTAGTATATATTTTATGTACATGTAATATATTGCAGTCATGAGCAATATTAAATAAAGATATGTTTCAAAGAAATAAGAAGATGAGTAGAATGTTACTTTTTTATTTCATGCCACAGTTAACTCTCATATAATGGATTCTTTAATTTAGGATTATTTATTGTTGAATTCCTGCTTTTGAAAGTCCATTTTGCATTAAAAATAGTAATCTGTTTTTCTTCTCAAACATTACAGTAGGATCATGTGGTCATGTTCATGATTGCAATTAAAATACTTATGATCACGTAGAAACACGATATAAGATAAATGAATAAATAGATAATAAATTAAAAAATTAATTAATTTAGTAGTTAAACGACCTCCATGTAGGTCATTCTGTTTCAGTGCTTTCCATGACCAACACGAACATGCATATACATGTACAGTATGCATGTTCATAATCATATTGAAGGAAATCTTTATCAAACTATCAGAAATTAAATGCAGTTCTATTCATTCAGGAAAACATGGCAACACAGTTAAACTCCTTTTTAAGGAGATTCGTTTTTTCCTCTTGGTTGTGTTGTTGCTTAATGTACTAATTACACTTTGGACTCATTTGAGTTTTATAGCTTCCTGTTTAAACAAGACAGAGAAGTGATACAGAGTGTAGTTTGTGTACATGTATGATTAATCAAAAGACGAATTAGGCAAGAAACCACAAAAAGCAACATTACTCCCAAATTATCACAGAAAAAATTACAGCTGCTCTATTTCCAAATAGGAAATGGTTAATTAGTAACAGTATTATAAAGTAATACCAACACTTTGGGAGGAAAATCATCAATGGCTTTAGTGTACATACATGTAGCTACATGTACATTGTACCTATCACATGTTGTGCAATTTCTATTTTCAAAAGAGATACCAGTATTTGTATCTTTTTCAAACTTTCTGAACCACCCCCCCCCCCCATTCCCCAATGCATACACACATTTTCATCAAAATGCATAGGATATGATACGAATAATTGGTACCAGGTAACATAACAAAACTTTTTTATCTACCGGTATTTCTCTTAAAAATATAGACCTTCTTCATGTACATTACATCATTTTGTTTGGTGCCTGGCGGTTGTAATACTCATTGTCTCATACTCTATCATTCATTTTATTTGCAGATGACTCGAGTGTATTTTTCTCTCACAGAAATCCACAAACTCTTTTGCAGACTGTAAACTCTGAGTTGACAAATGCGACTTTGTGGATTCATGCAAACAAGTTGTCTTTAAATCTTAAAAAACTAATATGCTCTTTAGTAATTCCCTGAGTATTTTGCCTGGAAATGTAATGTTCAATGGTGTTGAGATTGAAAGAGTATCTACATTTAAATTTCTTGGCCTGCATATTGATGAACATTTAAATTGGAAGTACCATATTAGTAAACTTTGTAAATTATTGTCAAGAAATACTGGTGTAATTTATAAATTGAAATACTGAATATTTTACGTATGTTGTACGGAACTTTAATTTTGCCATATTTGCACTATGGTGTGCTAGCTTGGGGCAACTCGTTCAAATCTCAAATGGATAAATTACTACTGGTACAGAAAAGAGTAATATGAATTGTTTGTAATACTCACTATCTTGCAGATGTTCTTTTTTTTATAATAGTAGTGTTTTGAAAGTTAAAGATATTTATCATTTACAACTAGGAGCTCTAATGTATGAATTGAATGCAGGTCTACTGCCAGTAGCCTTGGCTAGAATATTTAAGAAAAATAACCAAGTTCATAGTTATTCCACACGTCAGGCGCAAGCATATCACTTGCCTCTTGTTAGAACGCAATTTGCCCTTACTACTGTGGGGTCCTAGGTTTTGGAATTCCCTTGAATCAAGAATAGCGCAATCAGTCAGTATTTATGTATTTAAGCGCAAACTGAAGTTACTATATTCGAGTCGATATCGTCTAGATTTATAGTTGTGATCAATATTTAAGAAAATTAATTTCTATATAGGTCAGCATAATTCTACTCCCATGTCTCACATCTATTCATCTGTCTGTCTTTGTTTGTTTTTGTCTGTGTTTCAGTCCTGTTGCTCATTGTTTTTTCCTGTTTCTCTTGTTTATAGCCATTATTTAGTAGTCAGTAGATTTTATTATACTTATTTATGTTTATATTTTATCAGTTGTTTAGTTAGTTTAGTTTGTCAGCACTTAAATGTATGCATTATTCTTATCTGACGAGTTTTGTTCTTTTAGGACATATTCATAAGCTACTCATGAGGGACCTTAAATCCACAAGCCTTGCTTTCAACCAAGGTCACCTCATCTTTCTTTTGTAACGCCATATTCTGTAAACTTGTTATATTCATGTCATATTTGTAAAGTGTGTTATGAAAGAAAGATAAATAAAACTTGAACTTGAACTTGAACTCTATACCACAGAGTTAATGCCCTACTGGTTCTAAGCTAACAATATCACACAGAACTTGACAGAAGCCCAGAGACGAACTATTTCAGAGCAGTGATTGCTGTACCCGTTCAAAATAATCATTAAGCATACATGTATGCATGTATGCTTGGGTTTATTACTTCCTGATCTGCCCCAAAACCAAGTCATATCCTTCCACATCATTTGTGCCACGTCAGGAACAACACAAAATTGAACAACAATGAAATTACAACCAGGCATTAAAGTGCTTTGAATGGTTGCACCTATGGTAGCTGTTCATTCATTCTTTCAATATTAAAAGTTGTCTTCTCTCCTCTATGACATCTGCAACAAAGACTAATGAACAAATAAGGAATAGCTATATTTGTTGGTCTTTAAGAGCATGTGCCTCCTTTTCAAATATACACTGTCTTGAGAAGTGCGCCTCTCAGCAAATAGTACTATTGGAGTCACCTCTTGCGCATAGTTTTAACCAGTACCTCAAATAGAAGGCATGGTATATTTGTTTTATATCCTGCATCAAAACTTTTTGAAACAATAAAAAATACAAAAATAATAACAATTCCTATTTTTAGGGGGAAAAAAATTTAGAATAAAATTAAGATTTGAAGAAAAGAAAAAGAACAATTAAAAAAAATATTTTCACAATTTTTTTTCAACTCACAAATAGTACTCCCAAATAGTACTTACATGTTGACTACTCCCAAATAGTACTCTCATAAAGTACTTTTTTAGAACAATCTTAAGACCTACAGATGAAATATTTCTGGTCACGTGACGAGCTCTCAACCAATCAAAAGCCAGTAAATTGTTGATGCATGATATAAAAGAGTACCGTATCAAATTCATCAAATCAAATTCATTACACTGGGAAGTAAAATGTTAAGGAAATTAGGTATGATCATAATAGTACCACTATCTTATGAATTAATTAGAGACACAGATTTCATGGCATTGACCTGTCAAAAAAAAAATAAAATGAAAGCAATGTTTGCAGATAGTAATGTACAGTAATACAACATCAGACATATATGCTAGGTTTCATCGCGAAGTGGATGTACCAGGACATTGCCCAACATATTGACCCCTATCAGTTTGGAAACCAGAAATGTTTATCGACCTCACATTGTTTAATTAATATTCTTCATCATGTTTTTGTAAATGCTGAGGCACCAAAAACGTCATCGACGATACTTCTCACAGATATTCAAAAAGCATTTGATAGAATAGATCACACAGTTGCCATCAAAAAGTTAATTGAAATTGGTGTACGACAACCGGTAGTTTACTGGATATCTGATTTTCTTTCTGAGCGCAAACAAAGAGATCGCTATCACAGTGATCTCTCAGAATGGTGTCAAATAAATACTGGTGTGCCTCAGGATACGAAACTTGGACCTCTAATTTTTCTTGTGATGATAAATGATTTCAAATCTTCTGAAAGCAATAAGTCGATGATCTACAGTGGCGGATCCAGGGGGGGCCCGGGGGGCCCGGCCCCCCCCCCCCCCTTGAGAAAAAATCATGTAAAATCACGTGATTTTTACCTTTTTGGGGGGTGCAAATTGAAAAAATTTTGAGGATAAAAAAAAAAAAAAAAAATGTGCTCACTACCCCCCCCCCCCCACTGAGCGATTTTTCGGCCGGCGCGATTTTCAAATTTTCGGGAGCAAAAAAAAAAAAAATTGGGCCCCCTCCCCTAAGAAATCCTGGATCCGCGCCTGATGATCTAACCCGAGTTGAGTGTCCTAAATCAAACCAAATTTCAAACATGCTACATTGTACATGCAAGAAGCTGCATGTAACTATCTTTGTGAGCTGATATTAATAAAATGCAATTGAATCATACAAAGTGTATAAAAATGTACATTTGCTTTTCTAGAGAACCAGTCAACCTGTGACTGTCACAGGTGAAATTACTTGGTATCACGATACAAAATGATTTGAAGTGGGAAGCCCATGTCAGTGATATTGAAAAAAGAGCGAATGTTCCGTTCCTTTTGGAAGTTTGGCCTTTCATATGAAGATCTAATTACTATTTTGATTAGCTATATTCGCACAATCCTTGAATATGCAACTCAAGTTTGGAGTGGAGGCCTCACTGAAGCACAAAGACAACGCCTAGAAAGATTACAAAAATGTGCTTTGAGGATTATCTTCAGAAAGGATTACCATAGTTATGCAACTAATCTAAATTACAAACATTGGAAAGTTGTCAAAATGACCGGTGTTACCTTCTTTAAGAAAAGTTTATCATGCACAGACCAGTTCAAACAATCTATACCCCAAAGAGTACACAATATAGAACATTTCAAAGGACTAACAAGATCCCTGAACCCCGGTGCAAAACTAAACGTATGCAGAATAGCCCAATCCCAGATTTGATCCGTTTGTACATTGTATAACAAAAGATTTTTATGATTGTAATACTTTGAAACAAATGAAATTGACAAATCTCTTTTTTGTTACATGTTTATATTCCTTAGTATATCAGTTCAGAAAGCTGAGGTCTGATATCTTTTACAAATAGTCAATGTATTATTTTATGGCATGAAGTTTGCAATGCATTTTTATATATTTCTAGTGTTCACCTTATAATATTCATATTTTTTTTTTGCAATGTACATGTATCTTTGTATTTTATCAGTATGTACATAATCCCTCTCCCCCCCTCTCTTTCTATCTGTCCCCCTTCACCCCCTCTATCTCTCTCTTTCCTGTTTTTCCCAACTCTCTGAATCTTTTAACTCAAATTTTTTAATTGTAATATTTTACAAGATTTATGCATACACTGTAGTATACAACTATACATGTACTCGCTCTTCGTAATTATGTAGATTGTAGTGTGATATCTCTTGAAATATATACTTGTCTTTTCCATCAATGTTTTATTCATGTGTGATTCGGTTACCGGTGCCTGTAACGTACTGCGATACGTGGAAATATTTCAATAAATACCATTTATTCATATCTATCTATATCTATCTAACTTCAAAAGACTGAGTCTAAATGAATTCTACAATCTTCATCTTTGCCCTAATAGGGCCTACAAAGTTCAGCTATTACAACTATTCCAGTTTATACCTGTAACATTTCACACCAAGTATAAAAATGTGTTCAAATTTCTACTGCACGAGTGTACGGTAATTGTATAGTTGGCAAGAGCAGAGTATATCCTGGAAAATGAAAATTAGCCAGATGGTCACATTGATAAAAGATATAAAGCAAATAGAGACAAATAGAAGCAAAGTGACTTGCGTGCGGGCACACTTACAGCACCAACCATCACAAATACTTTTCACCAATAATATTGTCCTACATGTACATGTACATACAACATGTGTATGTCTCAGTCTCGAAAGATTTAATATAGCGCAATCAAACTTCTTCAAATTACCATTTGAAATTAACTGTCTGCTGTTGTCTAATTATGCTGGCCAAAAAGCGCGTAGCCAGGATTTCATTTGAGGAGGGGCGGTAGTGAGCCCGCAAAGCAATTCGCGCGCTCCCTAGGGGAGGGGGGGGGGGGTGGGTGCAGAGAGGGGGAGTTTCCCCCCTCCCGCGCGAAACGCATAAGCTTTGAAAGAAGACGATTCGTTGTACCTTTCTCGACTCATATTCCTTGTCTGAACTCAGTCCCTCCCCCCTCTTGCGCAAATTATTAGAGAAAGGAGACAATTCGTTGTACGTTTCCCGACCCTTAATCCTTAATTTGAACTCAGTTTCCCCTTCGCGCAGAAGCTTTGACAATTCGTTGTACCGTTCTTGACTCCTTTTCCCTTTTCTTCCTACGTCCTCTTTCTTTTTTCTTCTCTTTCTCTCTCTTTTTTTTTTTGGCCGGCGTTTTTTTTTTTTTTTTTTTTTTTTTTTGGGGGGGGGGGGGGGGTAACTGCCCCCACCGCCCCCCCCCCCCTGGCTACGCGCCTGCTGGCCAATAGATGGTTAGTGCTATTTGATGAATATTTTTTGTTAAATCGGAAGGAAAAGGATAAGGCTCAATTTAAGTTAATGATTGTTGAGTGTCCGGAAGCCCAACCCCATCATACATACAGTAGATCTACATTATTCAACTTGCACTGACTTGTTAGTACCGGTAGTTAAGTATGTAACAAAATTAAAAATTACCACATTTTGTAAAAACTAATCACTATTGATTGAATCACTATTAATATGTGAAAATATAAATTCAACATTTCTTTGAGCACCATAATTTTCTAGCAAAAAAAAACCTACTGTACTTCACATAGAATACATTTGTATACTCTTGAAACAGAACAGAATATTCCTAATGTTAAGACTAAACTTCAGGAAAGTTAAGCCTACAATGTACATGTAGCTGTGGCTGTGAAATTGTGTGACCCTAACCCTCCCCCCCCCCCCAGCCCTCCCAATATCACACATGAAAATCAATCTTCTATTTTGTTATTAGACTATAATTATAAAACCGAAGTACAGTAGATCGATCCTTGTCATTTGATTGGAGGATTGATGGTCACATGATATTCAATAAATAATATTGCTGCGCCTTGTTGAATATAGGTCTAGCGTCTCTTGATTTACCTTGATTTACCTTGATGTTGGGCTTCAAGTATAATTACTTATATGCCCCTCTGCAGCAGGATTAATATCTGAAAGATCTTTCACCTCGTGCAAAATCTTGTACCATTGCACTCATGAGCATTCACTATTTGTATACTATGTGTACGCATCAACGATAGTTAATTCGATCCAACTAAATCTTAAAGTGACTCGGTAACATTGTTGAAGGTTGATGAAAAAAAATTGCTTAATTTTTGTATAAAATGTTACTTACTATATTCCTTCTACTATACTAACCCTTCTAACATGCAAAAAATCCTGAACAAATTCTCAAACCACAAAGATATCTATGGTTTTCTTTGAAGGCGTCGATGTGGGGCACCCTCTAACAGTGATTAACAGTAAATTCTCCCAACCATTTTTGAATTTTCCCAACCGTTTTTCCATGAGAAAAATACATAAAACAGGCTATAAAGATCTGTCAACACTTAACTGTCTGGAATGGAATGTAGAGCCATTTTATTGCTTTGTGACAATTTACATTGACCTAAAATGTAATAAAATTGTCCTTGTCTTGATGCTGAACAGGCTTTGACTAGTAGCAGAATAGAAGTAGAATAATATAGTTGGGAGAATTAAGGAATCAATCAGATCAGTTCTTCCCAATTTGTACCATGAATAATGATCCGTTTTCACTCAAATTTTCAGATTATCTTTAATTGTACATCTAGCATTGAAGTCACTACCTTAGCACCACTATCTCTCATCTGAACAATGTTACAAAGTCCCTTTAAGTTTGGCTCAGTGCACGGGTACGGGTATCAATTGATATCTATTTGTTTTGTTGACACATACCATACTGGTCAGATAGCCTAGCTCCGCCTCCCCTTCGCCTCCGCTGTTCTTCCGCGGTCGGTTCGTGTAGACAAAGCTCACGACACAATTGGACGCGTCGTCTTCATCTTCGCAATATTTTGCTTTCAGAGCCGCAACAAATGACTTCGGCATTTTTTCTTCTGTTGCACTCGCTAACAACACAACGAAAGAGCACTTCCAAACTGTCAAAAGGAGTTATACCCTGTGCTCAGCTGTCCATTTGTGCTTTGCAGGCCTGGGCTTTTTGTTGTCGATGGAATGAGCTTGATTTGTAATTGTGCAATTTGATATCTTGTAAATATTGATGATGTCATTGGGTTGCGCTGTTGGTTGAATGAGATGGCGCTCTTCGAATTTTTTGTCAGCTACAGCTGTTAACCTATAATCAAAGTTGATTTTTTTTGTTGCTGTTTTGGCTTCAAAAGGGTCCCAATTGGCCCAAAATGATGGGGTTCAAGTTTTCAGACCCCTCCTTCATTTCCGGGTGGGGGGGGGGGGGGGGGGGGTCCATATTGGGCGCCAAAATGGCATGTATAACGCGCAATAGGGCAATTTGGTGTCTTCGGGAAAATTTGAACCCCATCAATTTCTAATAGCTTGGACCCCCATGAATCAAAAAATGCAACAACCAAAAAACAAAAAAAAACAAAAAAAATTAACTTTGGCACAAAAATCATACAGGAGCTGTTTCAGTGACATACCATACCACACTACTAATTCAATTGTACGTATGATATGAGGGTAAAAGATAGAGGTTCAACCCTTTAATATAACCCACACCTTATGAGTAATTGATAGAAAAAAGAAAGACGGAATATTATGAGCTGTGAAAATAAAGGAACGAATCATAAAACAGGTAAGGGATCGAGGGAAGGAGAGAGAGAGAAAGAGAGAGAGAGAGAGAGAGAGAGAGAGAGTCTTTTTTTTGGGGGGGGGGGGGGGAGGAGATGTGTGAAAAGCATGTGTATTACTTTTTTATACAGAAAAAAGAATATTAACAGGTAATTAAGCCTGATCATTGTCATCCAAATCGATTTGCTACAGGGTCAATGCAATATCCTAAAGATACACGTCTGTACATGTTAGACCATAATTTCTTATATAGGCGGTATTCTAAAAACTCACTTAACTTTCCCTTTCAGAAAAAGAATTAAAGAAAGAAAAAAAACTTTCCCTTTGAGTCCTCAAGTTCCTAAAATATTCAAATTGTATGCATACTCTTTAAACAAAGATTGATCTTGACAAACTTAAAGATGAGAGGAGTGCCCAACACAGTGGCGGATCCAGGGGGGGGGGGGCCCTTGAGAAAAAAATCATGTAAAATCACGCGATTTTTACCTTTTTGGGGGGTTGGGCCCCCCCCCCTGGCGCTCAAGGGGGGGGGGTGCAAATTTTAAAATTTTCGAGGACCAAAATAAAAAAAAAAGTGCTCACTACTACCCCCCCCCCCCCCCCCCCACTTATAGCGGCCAGTTGATTCCTGGTTTCAGTCCTGCGTCCCTCCGTTCCTCTCTTGACCCCATTTTCACAAATCAGATACGTTTGACATTGACAATTACAATGTTTTTTTCTTCTCATGTCTGAACCCTTGCAAGGGCATTGGAGAAAATCAACACCCAACAATGTTACAAGTCATCTAGCCAGAGCCCCGATTTCTGTTCACGACCGGGGGGACGGAATGCAAGCCCTTACAAAAAAGTACCATGGTAACCATGGTTTTTTTGTCCAAATTATCATCCACCATGGTAACTATGGTTATCATGATACCAAAACAATGAAATACATTGTTTAATGACCCAATGTATTTCATTGTTTTGGTACCATGATAACCATGGATGGTAATTTGGACAAAAAAACCATGGTTACCATGGTACTTTTTTGTATGGGAGGGGCGAGGGAGCAGTGGCGTAATGAGCAAAAAAGTTTTGGGGCAGAAAAAAAAATCCGCCTCACCACCACTCTTACATGTTACATGCAGGCCCCGCGGGGGGGGGGGGGGGGGTTAAAGTCGACATATTTACGATCAAGTAGGGCGAAGCAAGTGGAGCGTTAATTGGCATGGAGTCCCGGGTTTTAGACATTTAATTACGGTCAGATGAGCATATTTTGATACCTTGTTTGTGACACTGGAATACAGGTCACTAATTGGAGTTGGGTCCAGGTGGCGGGGCCCCCAGAAGCTCAGGGGTTTAAGGTATTTAATTACGGTCCAAAATAGGGGCCGCCTTAGGCCCTTGGTGGGGTCAAGGGGGCAGAGCCCCCGGAAGCTGAGGGAAAAATCATGCCTTTTCAGCAACATTTATAGAACACTAATATCGAATCAGAAATAATGCACGTTTGAATTTTATGGGTGGGGGGGGGGGGGGGAGGGGGAGGGCAACTGCCCCGACCCCTAACCCCCATCAGTACGCCAGTGCGAGGTAGCATTTTAGTGAACGTGAGGTGACGGAAGTGACTAACCCCTCACAGGTTTTTGAAGTTTTGTTGTATTAAAAAATCACATTCCTTAGCATAGGCCTAACTAAATAAGCAATAATGAATATACTTTATTCACACTTCACTTTTTTAGCTCCCGATCGAAAAGATTTTTGCTTTTTGATTTGTCTACACGCGCACTCTTGGGCCTTCCAGATCCTTAAAATGTGTTGCAGTCTTTAGTCAGTATTTGCTATACATTTTTTGTTTGCACTTTTTCCGGGAGGACGACCCCCCCCCCCCCTCAAAAAATTGAGAGGGACGTGTCCCCCCCCCCGTCCCCCGGGATCGCCGCCCCTGCATCTAGCTGTACTCAGTATACAATAACATCAATGAACATCATTATGTACAACTAGAGATTGTACTTGTAACTTGTACACGTATAGGTGGTATGTTCTCATTTGAAGAAAAAGTAGGAAATGGCATGAATCTTCGGAAAGCCGTGAAAAGAGTCTTAGCAAGACACAGTCCACAATTCGAGGGCTTATTCCAGTATCAGGATGAGAATGACGATGATAGTGAAGAAGAGACGGATGGTGCAGATGGAAGCCACAACTAAGAGTTGACATCACCTTGACAAAGACACTTAGTAGACAACCCTAATAATAGATGACAAATTTACTCTATTTCAATTACATGTTGCACCAGGGATATGTGAGTTTAAACTCACATATCCCTGGTTGTACTGTACATCAATCGACCTTTCTGAACGTGCATCCCTGTACGGGTCCAAAAAAGAAAGAAAACTTCTCTTATTATGTTTATGTTTTAAAGATATTTATATCTATACACTATTATTTGCTGTGCAACTATGTTAACAGTTTTTACATGTTTACGATGAAATGTGACTTGGGTTCTATTTTTCTAGTTAAAAATGTTGTATATATTCATCTCTGTTCCCTTGTAACATTACCAAATTGTAATTGTTATCTTTGTATTCAAATCTGTTTTGCATGATGTTGTCCATATTGAAAGAGAAACAAAAAAATCAAACTAAAGTAAATTCTGTACTACTACTACTTAGTGTTTTATTTCATTGATGTGTGTATTCTACGTCACAACATTCGTACAACATACAAAGTACGTCCAGAATGATGTTTTGAGAGAGTTCAAACACAGCCATGACTATATCAAAATATTGTGTGAAGTCCAAAGAACTCGGCGGTATGAACAGGGCAGAGTAACTCACTTGTAACTTATTTGATCCAGGATTATTCAGTCTTTAGACTGTTGTTCCTATCCATGGTTTCGTTTGGTCGGGGTTGTCATCATATTTATCTGGGGCATCATTCCACCATTTCTCAAGTCCAGATTTAAAACGATTCATAGTGGTACTCTCCACAACATTGCCTGGAAGACCATTCCACACATTGATTATTCTCTGGCTGAATGAGATTTTCCTTAATATAGCATAATAAATTATAAGCATTTTAGCTTGTAAAGCTTAAATGAGTGACCACGGGTGCGACTGCACTTTGTTCTGTTGAAGAAATGTTCTTCTTGAAGATTATCGAACCGGTGCATTATTCTGAACACTTGAATCATGTCAGATCGTTTCCGTCTGAACTGTAGAGTGGGGATTTTCAGTGCTTTAGGTCTCTCTGAGTAGTTTAAGTGTCTTCCTTTTTTTTCTCCATTGATATATACGTGTTATAATATTTTATACGATCCAAACAAACCCTGTACTAATCTGAAAAGTCGTTCTCATTGATCCTGTACAAAATGATTTATTTCCTATAGACTTAACAAGTAATCCCCAAATAGACTTACTCATGGGTACCACCAATTCAATGGAAATTTGTATTAAAAAAGAGCCCCCGTCAGTACTAAAAGAGCCCCCATGAGAGGGCTCACGGTGCCGGTGGGCTCTTTTTTGTTGGAAGAGCCCCCGTGGACACAAAATTAATTTGAGCCCTGTTTGCACCCCTTCCTCCTTAAAGGTAATACAAAGTTTTTGTAAATTTTGAAAATTGGCTGGATAGTGATTCTTTACAATTTTGATATAATTGGATGCCCCTGTGGATGTGTTATAAGCACTAGAAAATTTAGCCCCTAAAACACTTCTGCTTTCGAGATAAATTGAATATAGTAATTTACCGGTGCTTCCGGTAAATTTTGTGAAATTTCAAATAACGCCTACGGCCATACAATGGCAGCTGCGACCATGAAAATCTCAGAATATGTAGTTGTGATATTTAATTTCCAAACGGGAATAGCCAATCGGTCGATTGTATAGTCAAGAAACATTGTTTTATAGCTAAATTAATATATTGACCTTGAGAGGGAGCTATACAACAAAAACAGTTTATTATTACAATTTCATCACTTCATCACTAGACTCGATTTCAACCGCGCCTAAGATCACTGAATATTGTCGGATCGCATATGGTTCCAATATGTTCATTTGAACCAAATTCATAACCCCATACCAAAACTTTGTATAACCTTTAATCCCTTATCCATCGTTACCGTCACTGCCTGATTTACGTATGACCGGCCCCTTCTTCAATGACCCCAAACTTCCTGATTACCATCCTGCCGCTCTTTGGAGGGGCTGGATCATGATGCGGCATTTTTAGAAGTGTTTTTACACTAACCTTTCAGGCACTACGGCTTAACATCAGCAAGCATGCTTAGAATTTTTGAAAATAAGCTGAATTCCAACTCGGTTTTGCACAACCTTAAAAATTAGAATACGGTCAGTCGCCCCCGCCCCCTCCATGTGCCCATATTTCACAAATCACAAGCATACCCCCCCCCCCTCAGGTTTGCCCTTATTCGTTGCTACTGTCACTGAGAGTGCAATTTCCTTGTCTGTTTCCTTTCTCACCCGGCTTCTCTCTTCTTCTCTCTCCCTCTTCCCAGGGATATCCGAGTAACTCACATATCCCTGCTCTTTCTCTCTTTTTTCTTCTCTTTTCTTTTCTCTTCTCCTTTTTTTTTTTTTCTTCCTCCTTTCCCCCTTTTTTTTGCGCCGCCAATAATAATACAAATTAAGATATTATTGGCATGATGTGATGCCTTTTAGCATGACAGGGGCGCAGCCATTTTCTTGAAAATGTAACGTACCAGGTGAAGTTGTACATGTATCATGTACCAAGCTTCTATCCGACAGACTTTTAAAGTAAAAAACAAACCCTTTACTTTCGATGTCAATGAGGAAAATCATAGCTGAGAAGATGGAAATTATATTTGGTGAAGAAATATATAAGGGACGACAATTGTAACTAATTCATTCAAAAATACTTAAATAGTTATAGCAGTTGACAAATCTATTTCATTTATGAGAAACCTTCACCCAGAAGAGCACGCCGCCCAACCTTTTTATGGAATTTCTTTCTGGCAATGGTAGTACACAGGATAAAAGCAGGTGAATGAAGCAGGTGAATCACCACACTGGGAATTCTAGGAAGCATCTGTAAATTTGAATAATACGACTTCACTTAGTACGTCACGTCCCGGGTCACGTCATGAAAATAGCGATGTCAATGTCGTGCTGAGAAACTGTACATTATTCTTGTTTTATGCCTCTCTCATGAAACCTTGGTGGGGAATCTTGGGCAAGAATATATAAATATCTCAGAATAAGTCAAGTTCTTTCTTGAGGTTTCCTTTATATTCAATGACTGTCCCTGAATCCCATGAAGTTAAACTCGATCGATACTTGCTAAAGCTTTTCGTCGTCAAAATAGTGTACACACGTACTTGCTCGTAAAGTCTACAAATAAAAGGCATTACACGCGATGAACCACAGCAATATTATACAAAAGTTCACGAGAAATGCCGTTCTTGGCCTACAGCAAGGTGTTGTTGTCGATCATCCCGTCATCATATTACTAGAGCGGGGGAGGACCAAGGTAACGACGGAGATGTCGAGCGGGACATCATCGGAGAGTTGGAGGTATGTGGTACTGGTCACCAAATTTAGTCTGGATTTCCTGACGCAGGGACTCTTGAAAGCGTTTGGTGTTCTCGTTCCAGCCCTCGTCAATAAATTAGAGACAAACTATGGAACAATCGGATTCATCTTGTCTTTGGAATTAACCGTGTTTTTCATGGCATGTAAGTATGATGACCCATTCATGTGATCGGTGGTGAATATTTAAGCCCTTTCAATATAAAAATTATAATTATTATTACCTATAAATGTAAAAGTTGCCCCTATATGGTTTCGTGTTCGGAGTGCGTGCAATAGGCCATTTTCGTAATGTAACCAAATTTAATGCATAAGTCTTTGTGAAGTGCCTCAATACAAATTATTTCATTCACCTGATAAGAATAATAGTATTTCAATAGTCAGAATGCAAACTGTTGCTAGGTAGGTCAAGCCAAAATGTTTGTCCTACCTGGCAACAACTAATGTATGCAGTTCGAATTCTGTCTATTGAAATACTATTATTCTTATCAGGTGAATGAAATAATTTGGATTGAGGCACTTTACAAAGACTTATGCATTAAATTTGGTTACATTAGGTATCACAGAAGAGCAGCGTTGAGTGGGGACACACAGAGCTCAACCACGCAAATTCTCTCTTTGTGAAGGAAGATTTTCATATCATGGAAAAAATAAATATTATAAAATTATATGTCTCTCGAAAGCTCAGTATTCTGTCTTGTTTCATGTCATGTCATTTTCATCAAAATCCATTAATTACTTACGACACAGTTGCTTGAGATTTACCCTCTAATTCGTACGGTCTCACTTCATTTGTCGCCATTTTTTTTTGACGGCCGATTTGTATCCCTAGTTTTAGCTCAATTCGCTTGAACGCCATTCGTCTTTGAGTTTTAAAAATCCACTGGTTGGAAAGAGCACATCTTAAGCTTTATTTTCATATAAAAACTGATGGGGGTATGTTTCAAAAAGATCGTGAAAAATCAGAGTGAAAAGTTTGAAACAATTTTTCTATATCAGAAAAACATACTTTTAATTCAATTTTTGATACGAGAAGAAAGAGAATTTACTGGAGTATATGATCATGTAAATATTAAGAATGACCGCTAAATGGCGCTAGAGCGCGAATCCGGTTAGTACAGCTGTACTCTGTGTATAATACGCACTGAGCGAGAGTGACTACAGCGAGCAAGCCCCCAGCTTCGAACGGGGACCCGACGGGCAACGTGGCGGCCACGTGTCGCATCACCGCACCCGCCGCTTGCCGTCCCATCAAGATCCGAAACGGAGCATGAATCTGAGGCTTCAAATATCGAAACTGAGGCAGGATTTGCAGCATTTGGCGAACAAATTAGTAAATACATATATATTTCGACGGAATTATTATGCTATCGTAACCTAAACAGATTTTAAAGCGATCACAAGACCAATAATACATGTTTGTGTTTTTCCACTCGCAATTTTTCTCACACGTCATGCGAGTGAACTTTGAATTTCAAAGTGACTTTTTAAGAAATTCAAATACAAACTTGTGTAATCTTTGTCAATTTATAGAGTGAAAATTTAGTCAAATTTTGTCAGATTTTTTTTTTTTTTGTGTGTTTCAATCTACATCAAATAACTGTAATGACGGCTTTTCTGATCTTTGGATAATGATTATTAAATTCCAATTAAATTCAGGCAGTGTCTTTTCAGTAATCATATCTGATTGATGCACGTCTGTATGAAAACCCAACGACACACACACACACCCGGTGATAGCTCGGCGGCCGTGCACCGCCCATACTGGTGTCTCTATTCTCATGTTGTGATTGCGAACCCACGCCAAGGATTTAAAGGGCATTCATTACGGTTTTCCCCAGTGTTTTTAAATTTAAGATCGTGGATTCAATTTATGAATTTCAATTAAAAGGGATTTGTTATTATTTTTGTTTATATAGTAAATAAGTTAGGTAGGCATAGGGGGGAGGGTAAGAGGACATTTTTTATTTTTTTTTGGTCTAAAAAAAATCGTAACGACTCAGCCAACCGCTGAATAAGCGGGGGGGGGGGGGGGGGGGGGGGGATAAGAGGGCATTTTTTTTGGGGGGGGTCAAGAAATTTTTTAATTTTTTAATTTTCTCCGTTGGGGGGGGGGGCACGTCCCTGTTTTTCAGTACATTTTGGGGGAATTAAGGGCTGATTTTAACTTTTTTTTTTTGGCCGGGGGGGGGGGGGGGTACGTGCCCCTGTGCCCCTGTGCCCCCCCCCCTGGATCCGCCACTGCCATACTTTCTATTGATGTGCCAAAATTCATTCCCCTACCATTAACGGTTTTCAATTTAGGCAGACTTGAAAACACAAAAAAAAGCTTAAGGGTGCTTTAAAATAATGAAGTTTTAAGTGTTTAGAGCCTTTTTCAAATGCCATTTAAAATTAATTTAAATGGATTTGATGGTCCAAACTTACAGGAATGATTAGGCTATATACATACCCCAGATATGCCGAAATTCAGCCCCACTTCATAGACACTCTTAAATCTAGCCATGTTTCAAAACCCATGAAAACTTGTTCCGGCGACGCAAAAATAGCCATAAATTTTGTCACACGCATCAAAATGGGTTTCATTTTAATTATTTGAAAAATTCTACAAAAAAAAATATTTGTCTAAAGAACCTGGAAAAAAATAGGCATGTAGAAATCCATACATAGAACAGATTTCTTGAAAAGAAAGGTGATTCATCAATTAATTACAAAATTATGTCACCTTGAAAATGGCTAATTGTCAGTTATAGCCTAATTACGCAAAATTTGACCATTTCGTCTCTTATGTAAGTGGCCGTATTTTCAAAAGTACTTATTCAAATTTGACAAATGAGGTATCAAAACTCCTCTTTCCATGTGCTCTAAAATGAAATTGGCAGGGGAAATGAAATGTAGATACTTTCAAACTTTAGCTGTGATACCTATACATTACGAAAATGGCCTATTAAAATACGACTTTTAAAAATTATTTTGCAGCTAATAATGGTGATGGTGCCCGGCCACCCCCTTACTCAGTGTTAAGTGTACGCGAATGCATGTTCCCTCTTTCTGAAAGCACCCCCGCCCCCTAATTTCTAGGTTTTGAATTTGGATCAATAAAATAATCTATCTATCACCGGTATGTAAGTCAACGGCGGTCCGGAGTTTGTCGCGCGAAAAAGTACCCCTTTACCGGAGATTGTGGAAACACGCATGCGGTCCCTTCGTCCCCGGAGTGGGGGGGGGGGGGGTGGCGGTGGCCGTGACGGGGATGCGAATATAAGTGGGTGATATCGGACGAAATTATTGCTATAAAACTAGTCAACAAGTACCAGAAACGGCTCCTTTGCAGGGCCGTAGCCAGAGTTTGATGTTGGGGGGGGGGGGGGGGGGGGGGGGGGGGGTGCACATATCGACTTCCTGGGGAGGGGTCTAAAAAAAGTTCAACCGATCTTGGACATTTTTGTCCTATCCAAGAGACTTGTTTATGCGGATTTGAAAAGATACTCTCTGTTGACCTCAAGATAATTTTTATGCAGCAACAACAATGATGAAAAAGCAAATGGATTACTTTGCATCAAAGAATAGCCTGTGTACTATTATTTTGTATAAAATGCAGTGTCCGTTACATCCTATAGGATTTTGTACATCAGTTATTTAGGACAACTTATGTTATGAAACGACCCTTCCTAACAATTTGATTTGTTTTAATATCTATACAGATGGGACTAAAGTTTGGAATTTATTTACCAATTTTGGGTTGGCTTTTAAAAAGTTTCATGTTCTGAAAAATGGCATTTATTAGATTTGACCTTCTGTTTCCTCTGATTTTTATACTGCATCTAATTAATGGACTGAAGTGAGTGTGAATTGTTTTGTTTTTCATAAATGGCCACAAAAATCCCCAAAGAAGTGCACAATATGTGTTTGTTAAGGTAAATAATGCTTGAAAATTCCATTTCTGATCAGTAGCTTTGTGTAGTGTCCGTAACACCTACCACCCCTGTTGTATTAACCCTAGGTTAAAGTAAATAATGCTTGAAAATTCCATTTCAGTAGCTTTGTGTATATAGGCCCGAATTCACAAAGCAAGGTTTGAGCTCAGACCAAGGTTTGAGCTCAAACCTCCTTTTGTTTCGCCAAACCTCCTTTTGTTATTTATAAACCAGGTTTGTAAATAACAAAAGGAGGTTTGGCGAAACAAAAGGAGGTTTGAGGTCAAACCTTGGTCTGAGCTCAAACCTTGCTTTGTGAATTCGGGCCATAGTGTCCGTAACACCTACCACCCCTGTTGTATTAACCCTAGGGTATGGATGAACAATATTTGCGGTTGATTGAACTGCTCTATTGAATACTTCATTTTTGGACCAAAGTGCAAATGATTTTGCACCCTGAACCCTATTGTGGCTATACCGATTACAATCAGGCGCGGATCCAGGATTTCTTAGGGGAGGGGGCCCAACTTTTTTTTTTTTTTGCTCCCGAAAATTTGAAATCGCGCCGGCCGAAAATCGCTCAGTAGGGGGGGGGGGGGGGAAAGAGCACAATTTTTTTTTTTTTTTTTTTTTTTTTTTTTTTTTTTTTTTGCTCCCGAAAATTTGAAAAACGCGCCGGCCAAAAATTCGCTCAGTGGGGGGGGGGGGGGGGGGGGGGGGCGGGGGGGGGGGGTGGTGAGCACATTTTTTTTTTTTTGATCCTCAAAAAAATTTCAATTTGCACCCCCCCCCTTGAGCGCCAGGGGGGGGGGGGGGCCCAACCTCAAAAAAAGGTAAAATTCACGTGATTTTACATGATTTTTTTCTCAAGGGGGGGGGGGGCCCGGGCCCCCCGGGCCCCCCCCCCTGGATCCGCCACTGATTACAATCATATTCTCTCTTTTCACGTCTTGGATGAAAATATGACCCTGTCATGAGTCTTTCTATCGTGGTCTGGATGGTGGCCATTGGTTGTTAGGGTTTTTGGAAATATAAATCGAAAGAGTGCGTGCAGGCATGAAAAGAACGATCAAAGAAACGACCCAACCACCTAGATATGCCCCAAACTTGGTATGTAGAGGAGATGAATGGAGGAAGGAATTGGGTCAAGTAATTGAAGGAATGAATGTAAGTGAATAAGCAAATGATGTGAAATAAATATATATAGAGAGAGAAAAGAGACTATAGAGAAACAAGTAGGTATTGTAACAAATTCAAGTATGAAATGAGTCTAATTTTAACTCTTACACAACTATTACAGCATTAGGTCTACTGATTTAGAAACGCATATCAATGCATATATATATTTTTTTTTAAAATAAATATACAATTATACTCAGTGACGTAGATCCTTGCTCAATAACTATAACTAATTTTTCCTGATTGAGGTGTCATTATGAAAGGGCAGAGATGAACTTTCTGGAAATGTGATTTCTTTTTGAAATTCAGATACCGTTCGCCAAATGACTTTTTGGTACCCTTTCTTCAAATTATTTTTATTTACTCATGCGTGAAATATACATCATAAGTTGCATCAAATGAAATAGGAGGATCTATAATTTGCAAATATGTGTCATTTATCAATTATAATTATGATTAAGTTATGATAAAACATCGAAAATTCTCGGTTTCTTTTTTTTTTCTGGGACGCACCGTACAATACCTACAAAAAAAAATAGTCTGATTTCTAGGCTTCAATTCAATTCATAATCATTTAAGTACATTTCTCTGCAAATCATATCTCCGTATAATTATATGGAATATTTTCTCGAATATAACAACAAACTCCACCACCGTATTGATCTGTTCTCTCTATATCATAACCATTGAGTGAAACCGTATTACCACTCATCAGCAATTCTATCATCTTACCACCTTTCTAAAAACAAAATCAAATCATATGGCCAGGATAACAAGAACAATTAAAGGTCAACAAATTTATTCCTAAGACTTCTAATATTCAAGTGTACTATTTTCATTACATTTTCTTTAGGATATATATATATATATATATATATGAAATCATTTATATTTCGCCAATTATGACCAGAGTATCTATCGTCTGTTGCACTGAATAAATCATCATTATCATTAATATGCAATATTTTTCATTACGTTTTGTACATTACCATCGTACAAATGTTTTCATTTAAATCATTGTATTTTAACGGTACTATGTACATCTAAAGTGAACCCAATCATTGCAATGTGTACAAAATACGGCATCTCGGTTATATTGCACAATAATTGTGTCACATAGAATACATGGATATGAAATAACCATTTACACAGATTATCAACTTGTCATACACTGATAATGATGAAAGAAATTAAATAAACATTCACAATGTCCAAATAACTATTATAATTCAATAAACTAATCGATACAAAACTTAAAGGGCCACTCTAACCAAAACGGGCAAAGAAATGAAATTAAGACATGTAGAATAATTTTTCACGGAGATTGCGAACATGACAATGATTTTTTTAATAGAAATCATCAATAATTCTGGAATCTAGGTTTAAAAATGACGACTCAGAACGCATAGAAAAAAGCCCGGTTTCGGTGATGCCGTAGTAGAGCAAACGGGGGTGTGCCGCTCTTATTGGTAACTTTTTCACCAAGACAATATCCCTAAACCATTTAAAACAAAAATACCCCTTAATATAGGTTCGCTTTTTCAACATCTTTCAAAATTTTGAAAGTTTTCTAAGTCTTTGCCATGCAAACACCCGACATTTTTGTAAAATGGGCTTAATTTCGAAAAAAATCTGCCAAAATGACTCTTAAAATATGGGTAGGGTTTTCGAGGCTTCAGCGGCACACCCCCGTCCAAACCAAATCTGATAACCCCCCCCCCCCCCTGGGGGGGGGGCATTACAGTTTTCCCCGAGCTGATTTCTCGTTTGTTATTGTGATCGTGTCGCGTACTTAAAGGTTTTATGTCACAAAAGTTCTGAATTAGTATTATCTTTCAAATGCCGTTGGAATTTAACCTTTTATTTTTGTTTGCCTGCAAATGTGACATAGAACCTTTAAGTACGCGACACGACACAATAACAAACGAGAAATCAGCTCGGGGAAAACTATAATGCCCCCCCCCCCCACCCCGGAGGGGGGGGGGGGGGGGGAGGTTATCAGATTTGGTTTGGACGGGGGTGTGCCGCTGAAGCCTCGAAAACCCTACCCATATTTTAAGAGTCATTTTGGCAGATTTTTTTCGAAATTAAGCCCATTTTAAAAAAATGTCGGTTGTTTGCATGGCAAATACCCGGAAAACTTTCAAGATCTTGACATTTTTTGAAAAAGCGGACCCATATTTAGGGGTATTTTTGTTTTAAATGGTTTAGGTAATTTACATTTTTGGTGAAAAAGTTACCCATTAGAGCGGCACACCCCCGTATGCTTTACTTATTAAAATTCCAGCCTCGGTTTTTTCAGAAAATCTCTAAATTGACCCCAAAATGATAATAACCATCCATTTTTTTACAGCTCTCACGCTTGCTGGGCTACGCCCCTCGAAAACAGGTAATACGGTCACATGGCTTGATGACGCATTTGACGTCATTGCAGGAATATCCGACTTGTCCTACAACTAAGGATCATACAATCTCATTGTAATTCATGGTTAGGAATGACGAAATTACCTGAAACGTACTGGGATTATCAAGTGCATATTATTTTTCGAATAATTTTTATTTTTTCCTCCAATTAATATCATAGTTTGCCTTTTAGAAGATACTTTAATGCCTAAATCACCCTCCTTACAACGAGAAGTCTCCTGCAGTGACGTCATATGCTATTGCGCAATACAGCTCCGAAACTGGGTTTTTTTTGTGGAGAGTTCTGAGTCGTCATTTTTAAAGCTAGATTCCAGAATTATTGATGATTTCTAAGAAAAATCAGTGTCATGTTTGGAATCTCCGTCAAAAATTAGTCTACATGTATTTTACAATTTTTTTTAGCCCGTTTTGGTTAGAGTGGCCCTTTAAAATGAGGTTTATATTAAGTGCTTTGTTGATTTGTTTGTTTATGTTTTTGTTTCGTTTGTTTGTTCACAACAGGCCCCCTTGTGTGCATCCTTGCCAAACGAATCAATCCAAGGGCGCTTTGCATTGTGGGTACTGTGGGATCAAGTGCAGCAATCATAGCTTCCGCTTATGTCGATTCACCCGCCTGGTTTGGATTTGCTATGTTCATGACTGGTACGTTGAACATTCATGAAATACAATTAGCAAACAAATTTACAGATAAATGAATAAATAAATAAATAGATAAATAAACTGATGTACATGTAAATAGAAGTAATTGAATAGAAATTAATGTATGAAATATAGTGCCTGCACGAATCGAACTAACAACCATGAAATGTATTTTTATGAATGAATCGGAGAGGAAAAAATTGTAAATTGCCCGCTTCCTTTTTTGGGGCCGCCTCCTATTTTTTTTTTAAATAAAAAAAAACATGAAAAACACTGCTAAAATGGATCTATTTCTGATTTAAAAAAAAAATAATAATAAAAATGTCGGCGGCCATCTTGAAAAATAGCCCGACTGTCGGGAAAATGTACCGAGCGGCCATTTTGAAGAAAAAAATAAGAGCCTCCTCCTTCCTATTTTTCGAAAAAACAGGACGTTAAACATGTTTTGTTTTTTTTGGCCTAAAATTAATATATCGGGTTCCGAATACATCATTCCTCAGTGAAGTGGATTAGCTGACAGGAGGGACATCATTCAATTGTAAATCTGTGCATATACCGTATTATAACTGTATGCCAAGGATTTTTTGCCCAAATTATAACAAGACATCAGATCCCTGTCTTAACAAAAGTTGCGATTTGTTAGAATCAATCGCAACTCTTTATAATTCAGGGCCCAGATCGTTTGAATATCAATATATATTATATACATGTTATGGTCTGTCTCTATCTCTTACCTTGCAGGGCTCTTTAGCTCCCCGATAAATCAGATATCATACGAGGTTCTGCATCAGTATTTTGGAGAAAAGTTCGGCTTCGTGAATTCCATATGTCTCCTGGGCAGTTTAGTAGGCGGTATGGCATTTCCTGTCCTCACCTCCAAACTTCTAGACGCCTATGGACTTGAGGGCGCTCTTCTTTGTCTTGCAGCTGTATATCTCCATTGTACTCCTGTAGCGGTTACCTTTCGACCACCACATTCTTCAACAGGTGGATTTTACCAAGTGCCTGCGTGTGAAGAGGGTGACATTGGAAGAGTGATTGAACTCCCCGAAGGAGCAGAGGAAAATGATTTGACTTTGCAGCCTGATGATTGTGAGACCGCGGAACAAGTCGATCCTTTTGCAGTAGGTCAGAATGAAGAAAATAATGCAAAATCAAAACTCGACAGAGTCGTAGACTTCCTCACGGTTACTTTGAATATTCCAATGCTTGCTCAAGAAAAGGCATTCTGTTTATTATTCTTGCCATGTAAGTACATTGTACAGGTCACCATGGTTAGTTGGACACTCTTCGTGGTGTCTTATGGATTGACAAAAGGCCTTGATGAATCCCTCGCGGCCTATCTACCTCTAGCTGGTGCTTTGGGCGGTTTCATCAACCAAGGAGTTGTCACCATCATCCTGCATTTTCGACCACACTGGGGCGCGATTATTTTCATCGCAAACATGGCATCTGTAGCCGCCGCATTCTTCCTGTACCAACTTCGTGTATCCTTCAGCCATCTCCTTGTGTGCTCCTTTTTTGCCGGAGGTGGGATTTTCGGAGCCTTCCCAGCCACGTACTCTGTCCTGGTTTTCTACGTCGCAACGGAACACTTTGCCGGTATCCTCTCCATTAAGTTATTTGTGACAGGAGCTGCTGTCATTTCGTCAGGTTACATGGCAGGCAAGTCTTCATCTTTCTTTTTTATCCGTTCACGTATTTTTTGCAAAATTTTAGTTATCTGATAATGAAAACTGTCAAAGGGGTAGTTGTCATTCGGGGTAGTTGTCGGGGATAGTTTCCCTAGAGGGGTAGCTGTACGGGTCGTATTCTTGGACTCTGCGACCCCGATACGATATTTGAGATATGCAAATTGTGTGAGAGGAAACAACCCATTCAAAATTTTAGTTTTTGGGGTTAATTGTCAACGGGGTAGTTGTATTATAGGATAGTTGTCGGGAGATGATTTCCCTAGGCCTAGAGGGGTATTAGAGGGGTAGTTGTCCGAGTCGTATTCCACCAGTAGGTAGTCACTCTGATACGATATTTAAGAGATATGAAGTGTGTGAGAGGAAACAACCCATTACAATTTTTAGTTGGGTTAATAATATTCTCGACGGGGTAGTTGTCTTATATGGGAGTTACCCGGTGTATATTTTAGGGGATAACTGCCCTACAGGGTTGGTGACCGAATCAGACTCCAGGAGGTAGTCACCTTGATACGATATTTGAGAGATATGAAGTGTGTGAGTAGAAGCGACTCGTCTCATGTCGGGGCCACTATTAGTTTAAATTCATCCTTAAGGTTATCCAATCCTGAAGGATGGATACTACAGCATTAGAAGGCAACGAAAAAGACGAGCCCACGGCCTCTCGAATACGCCCTGAAGCCGATCTTGAAACAGATCTTTTCCCTTTCTTTTACTAATGAAGTGCAAGAATTTGTAGCATGTGAATGAAAAAATCATTCACGAAAGAAGTACCAACAAACACACCTCTTTCAGCTGGTAAACATTCAGAGTGTCAAGCTGAAATTTGTTTCTAGTCATCAACTCCTGAGCTCTCATCCCCCAGTTGTTTTAATATGTTAGGCCTAAATATGTATAAGGTTTTTGAGCAAGGATCTCGTCATTTCTTCTTTAAGTAGCTAGCTTAAAAATACAATGCACAAACCGATTTTGAATATACATGTATATTATTCTACACCATCATCTATTTTTATGTTTATTCTAGGGGTGTATTACTACGTAGATAAATTCTGTAAACAATGGGAATTCTATTTGAATATCGCAAAAGTTTTACTGGAAACAAAAATTCATTTCAACTATCTTTAATCAAACTTTCAATCCAATGCACTTCCATGAGATAATCAATCGAACCTTACAATGATTATGATCTTCCATATATTCTTAAGGGTTATTTTTCTTGCTGCTCCCTGATCAATGCAGGAAGTCTTTACGATGTTACTGGATCTTTTGATGACGTCTTCATGATCCTGGGAGGCATGAGTGCTGCATCGGTCCTCCTTACCATCGCTCTGATGCTGGTCAAGAAAAGACGGAGGGATCCCCAGTGAGATCAAAACCAGGGCAGCGTTTCATGAAACCGTGCAATGGACAAGTTTGCCGGCATCCCATTAAAACGCGTGTATTCAAATCACACTCGTTTCATCGGGATTTCGGCGAACTTGCGATGGACATACGACATTTTCTTGAAAGGGTACCTCGTTGAACAGTTTTATGACCTTGGTGGAGAAACTGAGAGGACATATTTCATGCGAATTTGAGAGGAAAGACGACACGAGAATGTCAGAGTTTCGTTCAAATTGGAAAATGTCCGTAATGGATGGTATGATCGTAGTTGGGAAACCGTAAAATAAGATCATGTTCAATGCGGAAGATGACGGGGGAAATTTCAAAGTATAGGGTACGATTCTGAGAGCGAAATCTAGAGGCAATTGTCTCAGGAATTGATTGCTTGCTTCGACATGATGTTACGAGATGTTGACTTCAACATAGGCCTACCTGCGAAATACAATTTCTAGCACATACTGAAACAAATGTTTGAAATGACTCTTAAATGATTCTCATTTTAAAGTATTTTAGAGTTATATTGGCCTTAAAGCAATATTGAAGTCTAACTGAAATGCTGAGGGAATTCCATTTTTCAAAGAGTTATTATTGATGGTTCTAGTACACCTACCCCGTGGACATCCACCCCCTTGGTGACCACCCCCAGTCAACTACCCCTTAGGACAGCTACCCCCCGGACAACTATCCCGGGTTAGTCGGAGGGTAGTTGGCTGGGGGTGGTTATCCGGGGGCAGGATGTCCAGGGGGTAGGTGTCCGTATACGATGATTGATATCATATCTGAATATATGGTTTTATCTAATTTTTGTCATTTATTTCACGTATGCATAATTTCCCCACCGTAGTATTTGAAGATGCTTTCCGAATTTATCATCGAATCGATTATGTTAATCGTTTTGTCTTTATAAATCATTATTAAACGAAACAAAAATTGTATAGTTACAAATAAGTTTCATTTTCTATGTTATATTACAAATGTCATTTAATTTTTATTTTATGTAAGCCTTTTTCTCAAGTTTTGATTGGGTCATAGAAAATTTAATTATTTGAATGCCGCTTCGTGGTCTGTCAGAATTTTAGCAATTCTAGATGCATCTTGATATTAGTACATCCCATGGAGGCTGATGCCATGAAGAAGCATTACTTCTGTTCCATCAGTGAAAGTGAATTTTTCCTGTGCTGCTGATTCATCAGCTGGTTGAGTATTTCTTGTATGTTCAGGCTGACTTCCTTCTTCATCCCGCATAAATTCTGTCGTGGTGATCAATACATCACAATTTCACCTCAAGCTGGTCATCTCTAGTTTGAAGGTGAATCTCACTTTGTTCTTCCAATGTATGGCAGATGCTATTGTTGAGTTAAGTGGGAGGATGAACTCATTTTCTCCAGATTGATTAGGAGTAGATGCAACTCTCCATTCTCAGAGCTACAACCTTCTATGACGTGAACTTGGGGTTCAATCTTTGTGATACCCTGAATAAGCCAGACCCTGGACTCTGTAGTTTCACCACTTTGAGAGGGCATCAATACACACTCCACGTGTTGTATAGTCCTGGCCGGCGAATACTTCCTCCATTGCACCACTAACATCTTCTCGTATATGTGCATTGCCCACTTTCTACAAGTCTAAGCAGTCTTTCACTAGTAGGAATTCTCCTCGAGCCGCCTCCGAAGGAAAAGAGCTCGAAGTGCATTAAACCCTACTACAATAGGGAAGTCTATTTGTCTTTCCCCACACGACTCAAGCTGTATAATCAGAAATCCGACAGTGGCTTCTTGCCCTTTCACCAAAACGCGAGTTCGGACAAAGCCCTCCACTAGCTGGTACCTTCGTTGGACCGACCCCAACATGTTTTACTGGTGCATTAAACGGGCTCACTACTCCTACTGCTGCTTCTAGAAGTGAGTGTAACACATCTCAGGGTATTCTTGAAGCCTCTGCCCCCGTGGCAGTGTCGAGGACACAGCCAATTTGCACTCCAACAACTTCTGCTATAGTGGTTGGGCTTGAGGACACTATAACACTGCAGCGTCACTCATCTCATCAAATGTTGTCGCAACTTCTTCTACTAAAGCCTACTGTGGGTCAAACTCAATTCTGTATCATCCTTTCCATTATCGGTTAAGGACATACCAATTTGTGGGTGGGGGGGGGGGGGTGGTTTCCCCCATGGGCTCTTCCTTATTGCACTGTTATCTAATGTCCTCCGCTGTTTTGCCCTCAACAACAGAGGAAACTAGTCTTTCTCCTGTGGTGGAGCATGTTGGTGATGCATGGTGGTATTTGGTTGGGGTGGAGCTTGATAGTGTGATGCCGGCACGTTGTAACTCTCTAATTGGCTCTTTGTTCCCTGTTCCATGCATACTCCAAGCAGGGAAGGTTTGATCATCCTGGTTTCTGGGGCCAGCGGGGAAGTTGTACTGAGGCATTGGAAAGTTTGGAGGCCCATTGGGACAGTCTCGCCTGAGATGACCCCTCTGGCCAAAGCTATATCATACTCTATTCGTCTTCCTTCTCTGAGATGTTGCTCGTTTTAGTCTGGCTACTTCCTCTCGGATTTGCTCTAGCTCTGTCATTATTGATTTCTGCTGTTCAACCATCTGTTGCACGAGAGGTGTAGAATCGTTGATGACTGCCCTTCCCACGTCAACATCTGCTTCTTGCACTTGGGGCCTCTGGGTATTTGGGGTCTCTTGAAAGAGTTGGAGAGCCTCCTCCCTAACCTTGGCGAACCCGCTAGATTCATGTGTCAACTGAATTTGCCTAAGCTCTCTCCTCGCCCAAGCCTCACGTGCCCCGTTGACGAACTGGTCACTCAAAGCCTTATTTTTTTAGATGGCTCAGCTCTTCTCCTTGAGCTTGTGTGGTAGCTGCTTTTTCCATCTTGTTACAAGTATATCTTATAACTTAAAGATAAAGATCAGTTCTGGTCATGCAATTGCATTGTGAAAGAAACGTTGTGGAATCGATCAGAAAAGGTTGATCATCTAGCATATAAGTAATGCTGTGTACTGCAAGATTCTGGAATCATCAAAATGATAAGAAATTTGGCCCAGTCTTGGTAAAGTTACAAGCACTGTACACAGAAAGATGTATATGGGATGTATATGTGCGCGACACGTGCGTAATATATATCACGTCCAAATAGATATACTAATTTACCAAATATATCAATAAGTAGGCGGCTTCTCGGCAAAGTTTGTATCATCACGTATTAGTCAAAACATATTCTTTCACACGATTGGAAATATGAGCTACCATTTCATTTTTTGAGAGGGGGCGTTTCCAAAACTGGTCTTTACCTTTAACACAATCATAATTAATAAATTACACATAATTGTAACGCTTAGATCCTCCTCTTTCATTTAGAGCAACTCATTATGATGCATATTTGATGCATGAGTAATTAACCAAAATTTGAAGAGAGGAAAGCAAAAATTCTTTTAGCGAACGGTATCTGAATTTCAAAGCGAAAATCACATTCCTAGAAAGTTCATTTTCTTCCCTTTCATATGACACCTCAATCAGGAAAAATGAGCCACGATTTAACAGCAAAGTTCTGTTTGTTTAAAGCACGGATGGCCAACCTTTTAAAGCTCGCGGGCCACAGCTAACGATTGGCATAACTTGGCGGGCCGTAGCTAGTCTCCCCCTCCCCCCCCCCACACGCACTCATGCAATACGTGTACACACCTGAAATTCTGCAAAAACAAACAAGCAAACAAGAAGATCAGTGAGAAAAACATATTAGGCTTACATTTAGTGTGATTTCTGTGGCTTGCACTTTTCTACTATGTTGTTAACCTCCATTACATACTCTGGTGAAAATGAGGTAAAGTGGTCCACCTTTCTCTTCTATGAAGAAATACTTTAGAGACCAATCTGATTTAAAGTTTCTGCCTTCATCAGAAACTCTCCTTTTCTTCGCAGGTCTCGAGGTCGTTGCCATGTTGGTTGTTATTTCAATCAAAATCAAGGACACAGCAGAAAGAATATCCTAAATGTATTAATTGTACACTGTACATCTAATTGAACGCGGTGTAGAGGGAAGGGGACTGACTATAAAGTTTACGATTAAGATTCATGAGAAAATTGTACGGCGGGAGAAAAGGGTTGTAAGTTTGAAAACATGTATGGCATTTCAAACATTATTTCTCGATTCACAACAGTTGTTACTGCGTGCGGAAATTACAAACTGAAATTTACACGGCGAGTGATATTAATGCGGGTATTAATGTCATTCATATAATATAATGAGAGGGAATTTGAGGAGTCAGTGTATCACAACAGTTGTTACTGCGTGCGGAAATTAGAAACTGAAATTTGCACGGCGAGTGATATTAATGCGGGTATTAATGTCGTTAATATAATGTAATGAGAGGGAATTTGAGGAGTCAATGTATCACCAAGTAACGAGTCAATGCGTTGTGAAAGATGAAATCAAATTATGGAAATATTAGAGATAGCTGCGTGTAAATGTTTTACCCTACTTCATCGATGCTATATGTGGCTGCATTTCATTTATGAAGTATTTTTTTCACTGCTCCGCGGGCCGCACCAGAATAGCTCGCGGGCCGCGGGTTGGCCACCCGTGGTTTAAAGTCATGCTTGCATTTCCATAATTTGATTAAACGAATTCGTTTTCACTGGATGCCTACCGTCACTATGAACATGACAGACAATGAAAGCGGACAAAATATACAGTTCCTCAGGTAGACAAAGGAACATCCCTTCACTGCTATTATGTAAAAAGGTGAATATGCATGTGACACCTGTTCTACACATGTTGACATAATAGCAGTGAAGGGATGTTTCTTTGTCTACCTGAGGAACTGTATATTTTGTCCGCTTTCTTTGTAAGTCATGTTCATAGTGCGTAGCAACAAACAGAGTTGACAAAAGACTTCGATCCGTTTCGTTGACGATCAGCCATGCATTTCGTCTTCTTTGTGCATGGCTAATCGTATGACTGCACCATACGAGTTGCTTCAAATGAAAGAGGAGGATCTAAGCTTTACAAATATCTGTCATTTATTAATCATAAATGTGATTAAGTTTTGATAAAACATCGATAATTTTCGGTTTCTTTTTTTCTGGGACGCACTGTATAACAATTTTTAAAACTAAATGGCAGTCACTTCAACATTTGTTTGTATAAACAACATGACAACAAAACATATCTTGGAAACTTACAAATTCTACAAAATAGAGCACTTCGTACACTGTGAAAAGTGGATTATTTGTTTCCTTCAAATGATTTGTACCGATTACTAAAACTAGACCATCTGAATGAGCGTTGGTCAAAACACCTAGCTTGTATCAAGTATCGATCAATTCATAAACTCTGCCCAACCTATCTTAGCAATTTTTTTTTCTTTCCATCAATCAAAATATAAAGATCTGGCCCACGTAAATTGAAACTTACCCAACCCAAAACGAATTACGGTAAACGATCACTTGTCTATCGAGGTTCAAAGCTGTGGAATTCACTCAGTACCATCGCTCAGTCAGAAGTCTCAATCCAAGCATTTCTTCCTTACCCATCAAATGATTTGTCAGAATAAATTCTGCTTTGATTGTTTTATACGCAACAATTTTATACTTGGTTTTCTCTCTCGCCTCTCTATTCCTTGTTTCTTTCTTTCCCCTATCCTGCACATTTCTGTTTTTCTTAATTTCGTTTGTTTGTTTTTGTTTGCTTGTTTATCATTGTAATCTTATTTCAAGTTGTATTTTATCAACAATTTGTATTTTTATCTTGTGGATGGACCCCTTTGAAGACCAGCTATCAGCTGAAAAGGGTGATCCTTCCCATATGTGGAAAATAAATAAATAAATAATTTATTTAAAAAAAGAGAGAATGTAAAAGTATTCCGTTTTATTTGAGTTAAAGAAAGACTTCATTTCATTGGAAATGTAAAATGTTTTGTTTGATTCAATAAAATAACCTATATGGAAGGCTAAAA